CAGGCTGGCCTTCCAATTCTTTGGGCAGACATGCCCCCTTTTTGGGCATTGTCGCTCCTTTTGGCAGTTCTGGTCACGTGATTCGTGTCAGTAGCCCACCCTTTTACACCGCCCATTGACTTCCTGCTTCACTGAACACTGCTTTTAGGGGGAATGGATTTTCTTGAAAGATGAAAGCATTAATTAGAGAGAGATTAGCATATTTTAAGAAAATCTGCATTTTCTTATAGCTGCATCTTATGAGTTTCCCTCTGGCACCATCTCCACCAGATACATAACGCTTGAGAGGTATGACTGTTTTAGTGTTTTTGGTCGATAAGATTCTGTAATTAGGCCCCTCATAATTGTCAGCACCAGGCCCACTGGGCTCTTAATCTGGCCCTGTCTGTATGGACTCTGATAAAACCACAAACCCAAACCTTTTATTGCTATATCTAAAATCCAGAGCTTCCAGTAGAGAGCACACATAGGACCAGTACACATGTCCAATGAGATATCGGACAACCATTCTGGGGTCAAGAAATAATTTTGTTTCCTAGTTTGTTGCTAGATTGGAAAGTGCTTCAAACTGAATTTTTTGGGATCAACAGAAAAACCATATGTGAGGCTGAACCTGATGGAATCCTGTCACAGACTATGTAATTATATCAAGTGATAATTATTTTCCCCACAAGTAGAATGAATGTCGATCCATGGATCAGGTTGATAACTGTAAGGTTATCTCAAGCTTTGTTTTGCGGGATTAATCCAGGTAGTAAGGGGTTTAATACATTATGCCAAAGAGCAGCATTAAAGAGGTAGATGAGTAGGGAGCTCCCAAGCTGTTCTGGAGCATGGACATTATGTAAATAAGTACATTGTGAGCTTCTAAGGCAAGGATAGGCAACCTTCGGCACTCCAGATGTTGTGGACTATGCTGTTGATGCTTTGCCAGCTTTATGGCTGTAAACCATGGCTGGACTGGGAATGATAAGCAGCCCCGGAAAAAAATTCTATACTAGCCCCATAATGCATCGCGCCAGCATAGTGTGCAGATATGGAAACGGGGAAAAAAAACATTAAAACTGAAAACTATCTCTCAAACGTGAAAGAAAGCACTCATAGGGCTTCAAAACAAACAAAAGAGTGGATTTGTTGTAAGCAGATGTGCATTTGCATATAATCAATGTTTCAGTACAACTACCTTGACCTATTGAGGAAAGTTTTGTAATTGGACTGAAATTGTGAATGTATGCTATTGCACAGCAGTAAAAAAAAATGACGTTATCTTGCTCATTTTGAAGTATTAAGAGTGTGCTCTTCACCTTGGCTGATAGCTGGATGCTCTCAATGCCAATTCAATTCCCATAGGAAAGCATTGGGAGGCAATTGCGCATGTGTGGCAAAACGCAGTGCTTCACCGCACCAATCAGCATCTCCTCATAGAGGAGCCCTCTCCCAGCCCTCCATGTGTCCCACTAGCCTCCCTTCCAGCCCTTCATGTGTCCCTATACCCCCTCCCTGCTCATAGGGCTTCAAAACAAACAAAAGAGTGGATTTGTTGTAAGCAGATGTGCATTTGCATATAATCAATGTTTCAGTACAACTACCTTGACCTATTGAGGAAAGTTTTGTAATTGGACTGAAATTGTGAATGTATGCTATTGCACAGCAGTAAAAAAAAAATGACGTTATCGTGCTCATTTTGAAGTAATACGAGTGTGCACTTCACCTTGGCTGACAACTGGATGCTCTCAATGCCAATTCAATTCCCATAGGAAAGCATTGGGAGGCTATTGCGCATGTGTGGCAAAACGCAGTGCTTCACCGCACCAATCAGCATCTCCTCATAGAGATGCATTGCAACAATGCATCTCTATGGGGAGAGTTCAGCGCCTCTATGCAGAGTGTTGAGACGCTGACCACCAGTGCAGCACTGACCCAGGAAGCACCTCTAGTGACTGTGTAAGTGACTCACTAGAGATGTTCCTAGGCAACAATGTAAACACTGCCTTTTCTCTGAAAAGGTAGCATTTACAATGCTCAGCCTATAGGGACAGGCTATAGACACCAGAACCACTACATTAATACGAAGTCTCATTAGCCCCCCATTTGTCCCATTAGCTCCCTCCCAGCCTTGTACGTGTTTCATTAGCTCTCCCATGTGTCCCATGAGCCCCCCCATGTGTCCCATTAGCACCCAGCCCTCCATGTGTCCTATTAGCCCTCTCCCAACCCTCCATGTGTCCCACTAGCCCCCCTTCCAGGCCTTCATGTGTCCCTGTAGCCCCCCCAGCCCTCCATCTGTTCCTATACCCCCTCCCAGCCCTTCATGTGTCCCTATAGCCCCATCAACCATGTGTCCCTATATCCCCCTCCCCAGCCCCCATATGTCCCATTATAGCTCTCGTATGTCTCTATAGCCCCCAACCCCCATATGTCCCATTATAGCCCCCTCCCCAGCCCCCATGTGTCCCTATACCCTCCAGCCCCATGTGTCCCATTATAGCCAGGGCCAGACATTATAGTCGGTTGTGGTGTGCCTAAATTGATGTAATGGTGGGCCTGTAAATAAAGAGGGCAAACATTTTATTAAAATACGTTATTTATTGCAAGCCAGCAAAATACAACAATGGATAACTATTCTATTAGACCTTGAAATGCTTGTGTGAGTTCCATTTCAGGTTCGAGAATATAACGGCAACATGATGTAGACCTCAATTATTTGGATGTTGCCATTATCCTGAACGGGAGTCCTGAAAAAAGTATCAGATTCAGGCCTGATCGTATGAGTACAATTCTTACATAAAATATTTTATTGTCGTAAGAATAGAACTGTGAACAGTAAGCAATATATCACCGTTGATAGTCGGTTAGGTGTTTCGGGTTGACTGAATTTCTGAATGCCTTTCAGTTTTTAAAAATTTATATGATGAAAGAAACCTTATTTTCTGGGGGACCGATGCCCCAATCGTTATAAAAAAATTGCCACAAAATATGTTGAGGAATGCAGCATCAGTCCAGATTGTGTTAGAATTATCCAATAGAGGTGGAAAAAACATGGACTTCCCATTCCACTTGAGTAGAAATATTTGCCACATAAAAAGATCTGCCAAAGCTTGGGTATCAATGATGACTAGACTCCATCGTTAAGGAGACCTGTCATCTATTCTTTAAATAGATTCATCTTGCACTACATGGAATGTCTTGAATTAACTTTCACATTTTCTGAAAGGTTTTTGCTGGTGAATATGTTTTATCCAGTCTCCATTTGGCTATTTAGGATTAATTGATTATTAGTGACCCAACCACGGAAGAAGGTTGATCCAGTGTATATTAAGATGTTTCATTTTAGTGACAGCGTAGCCTTTGAGAAAGTATCTTGTGAAGATGTGAAAGACGTTCAGGCAATCTGGATCCATGTTATCGGTTAGTAAACTGTGATCCTGTATATACATAGTTACATAGCTGAAAAGAGACTTGCATCCATCAAGTTCAGCCTTCCTCACATATGTTTTTGCTGTTGATCCAAAAGAAGGCAAAAAAACCTAGTCTGAAGCGCTTCCAATTTTGCAACAAACTAGGAAAAACGGTTTGATAGAAATTGCACCCAAAGGTACATGTTACCTATTACAATGAGCTGTGGTGGTTATGCTGCTTAACGTTCCATTTAATTTTTGACAACCAGAACAATCAAACATATTGTATACTTTATACATCAGATAATCTTTTCTTTCAAGCCACAAGTTGTCCAGAACAACATTTTTACCAGAAGCAGTATTGCAACTTGATTTTGGAGATAAATAGTAGATTTATAAACAGGGTCGGCGCTTTCTATAGGTAAATTAGACACCCGCCTAGGGCGCTGCTTAAGGGGGGTGCTGGCCCTGGCTTTATGATAGTTTGTGCCGTGTCTGACCCTCGTTCAAGTTATTTGGAGCAATGCAGTTGGCCATGTTACCGGGCGCTTGGAACCACTTACATTGTTACTCACTAGCGCCCGATAGAACATTGGTCCGGTGGCATACACATCAGCCCGCTCAGGCAGGACACCCTCCCAGAGATCCATTGCGGCGGTGGTGGCTGCAGCGCAAGGGCGCTTCAATTCCTCGCTCCCGCCCCTTCCCCTGTATGTGGGGAGAAGTGGAGAAGTGGGCGGGAGCACAACGGGATATATGCTGAGAAAGAACATGATGGGCAGCCAGGCGGTGGCAAGGAACAGCAATGAAGGTAAGATGTGTGAGAGAATGTGTGTGAGTCTGCTTCAGTCAGTATGTTTGTGTATGTCAGTCTGTATGGGTCATTGTGTGCCTGTATTGGTCATTGTGTGTCTGTATGGGTCAGTGCATAGCCGATCCTGGGTGGGTACACAGCGCCCAGGCACTCTGTGAGTAGAGGTGCATTGTGGTGATAGGCTCTGCACCTCTTGCCAAGTCCAACCCTTAATTTTAAGCTCTGCCTCCTGTCTGAAGGCCATCAGATATCCTGGAAGGCTGGCTGGGCAGGAAGGTAAAGCTGGAAGGTGAGCACACACGGGGAAGGGGGGCTAAAGATGGCATAGAGAGGGGGTTACATAGGGACACAGTTGGGGTAGTTGCTAAAGATGGCACAGGATGGGGATACATAAGGGCACAGGAGGTAAGGGGCAAAAAAGGGCACAGGAGGGCTGTTATATAAGGGCACAGGAGGGAAGGGGCCAAAAGAGTGCACAGGAAGGGGAGGGGGCAAATAAATGGAACAGGAGGGGAGGGTAAAGATGGCACAGGAAGGGAAGGAGGGCTACATAAGGGAACAGGAGGGGAAAGCGGCTAAAGAGGACACAGGAGGGGACATGAGTAGACATGAGGGGAGAGGGGCTAAAGAGGGCACAAAAGGGGAGGGAGGCTTAAGAGTGTACAGGAGGGCTACATACGCAGACAGGAGGAGCTAAAGAGACACAAAGAGGGGCTGAAGGGAGGTATAGAGACACACACAGAGGGGCTGGAGGGCACATAGAAACACACAAAGAGGTTGGGGGCAAAGAGACACAGAGGGGCTGGGGAAGGGGAAAAAAATTTAAGGTGCAGCTGAGCTGGATTATTGGCAAGCTTAATGTCAACTATAGGAGGGGTTATCAAATGTATTTTGGGGGCTGAAGTCCCTAGTCCACAGAGCAAGTCACAAGAGAATGGTGAGATAAGTCACACAGGGACATTCAGAAAAATAAACAAACATACTGCTGAAAACAACAATGCATGCACACACAGTAACGTCCAGTAAAGGACACTCATACATGCAAACACACACACACACGTCTTACAAACAGATTTTTGTATTTACAAATACATTCCATACAAATATTCAATAACTGCATGTGGACACATTAATATTATACACAAATATTCATTTGAATTCACCTACATCTGTAAATACATTTCTGTATTACAAAAACATTGACTCTCTGCATAACACACCCAGCTTACACACAGTTTACAGGGCCAGATTAAGAGCCCAGTGGGCCTGGTGCTGACAATTATGATGGGGCCTAATTACAGAATCTTATCAACCAAAAACACTAAAACAGTCATACCTCCCAAGTGTCATGTATCTGATGGAGATGGTGCTGGAGGGAAACTCAAAGGTTGCAGCTATAAGAAAACACATACTCTATGCTAATCTCTCTCTAATTTATGTTTTCATCTTTCAAGTAAATCCATACCTTCTAACAGCAGTGTCCAATGAAGCAGGAAGTCAGTGGGCGGGGTGGTGGGCCACTGACGCGAATCACGTGACCAGGACTGTGAAAAGGGGTGAACATGCCCAAAAAAGGGGGCATATCTGTCCAAAGAATTGGAAGGCCAGCCTGGCATCAGTGTCCCTATTTATCACAGTGTCAGTGTCCCCATGTCGCCCAGTCCCCTAGTCTCTCAGTGTCCTCATTTCTCCCAGTGTCCCCATGTCTCAGTGTGTCCCGTGTCACTAAGATACTAGGGGACACTGAGAGACATGGGAGCACTTGTGGATACAGACATAGGGACACAGACATTTGGGGACACTGGGACACAGACATGGGGACACAGACACTGAGAGACATGGGAACATTAAGACACTAGGGACACTGGGAGACTATGGACACTGGCTGGGAGGCATGGGGACACTGGGAGACGTAGGTGCACTTGTGGAAATAGACATGGGGACACAGACATTGACACTGGGAGACTAGGGGACACTGTGTCCCTAGTGTCTACGTGTCCCAATGTGTCTCCCAATGTCCCTATGTCTCACAGCGTCCCCAGGTCTCCCAGTGTCCCCTAGTGTCTCAGTGTCCCCATGTCTCCCTGCTGCCTTTCCCCTCATCCATCACTTCTATGAGCTGAAGGCTGTCTCTGCAGGCTGGGAGCTGCTGTCTCCCAGCGGATCAGTGAGTAGAGACAGGCAGGGAGGGATATGCTGTAACTTCCTATCCCTGCCCATCTCCACACACAGTGACCCCTACTGGCTGGTGCAGAGTAATCTCAGTTTATACTGAGAAAAATATCTGCATTTGTATTGCCGGTACTGTAATAACGGCACGGCCAGGCAGCCTTAAATACCGGCTGTGCCGGTTTAATACCAGTCAAGGCCCCAGGGAGAGTATGCAGCTTAGCGGACAGGGGCACATGTATGAGTGTGGGATGGATGATGCATGATTTGCTATGTGCTACGTGTGGGAGTGTGAGATGTGAGGAAGTGGGTGGTGATAAAGCAGACTGACCTCAGTGCCAGTTAGGAGCCGGGCCAGCAACAAGTTTCCCGCCCACCCTCCCTTTGCTGCTTTGGGCCCGGGGGTTGTCACAGCGAGGCGGGGTCATGTCCTTGCCAAATAAGGAATGGTAGATTAGATGAAAAGGGGGATAATGGCTGGGTCTCATCCTCCCCCTGTCTCTTATGGTGAACCTGAAGGAGGTACCAGGTTGGACGCGTCCCCACTGGGTTGTAAGTTGACCGGTGGGGAGCATTATGGTTGGGGCCCACCGAGCGGAAAACCGGCTGGTGGGGAGCCCTGAAAAGGAAGATGTTTTATTATGCCGAGGGGGAGAGATGAGAGACTTGGGGAAGTTAGATTGGCAAGGACGGTTTCTTGATTACTGTATGACTGTATGAAAAGTGTTTATGTCAATTTATTAATTTATTATTATGTTATACATTTAAGGAGTTATACAGTATTTAATGTTAATAAATGCTGTGGCCTGTTTTTCCCAAGAAGTTGTCTGTCGTTATTTGAAGGGGTAAGTTATGGTTTTATGGGGGGATGAGGGGAATGCTATCCAATGCCCACTAAGTACATACAGGTGGCAAACCTAAGAGTAGTGTTCAAAAAAATTACAAAAAAAAATATATTTTTTATTTTTAAATGGGCCTATTCCATGGGCCTGAGCCTGGGCTTGGAGCTGCAGCTCTATCAGCCCCTACGTTAATCCAGCCCTGACAGTTCATACAAAAACAATATGAGCTGGTAAGCTGTTTTAAAAAAGAAATGTCATTGATTAGTAATTTTGAGACAACAGATACACTGGTCAGCAATTTGGGCACAAAAATGGCTATTTGGACACCAAAGTGGCACTGATAAGATGGGGACAAAAATATTTTAAAACTAAGTTGGCACTGATTAGCTATATTGGGACAGAGAGATGGCACTGATGAGCTATTTTAAGACAAAGATGGCACTGGGAAGCTGGGCACTAATATGGCACTAATAAGCTTTTTGCAAGCATTTTTGCTGGCACTGTAGGAAGTGGGTGACATGTGACCTGGGTTGAGGGTGTGTGGTTTCCATAGAAATTGGGTGTGGTTAGAAGTATTATGTTTGTAAAGGGGAGGAGTTAGCAATATAGCCACACCCACCAGGGGCACCAAAAATATTCTTGCACCCAGGCATCAGTGACCCTAGGTTCGGCCCTGGGTCAGTGTGTGTGTCTGTATGGGTCATTGTGTGTGTCTGTGTGGGTCAGTGTCTGCATGGGTCATTGTGTGTGTCTGTATGGGTCAGCGTGTCTGTATGTTTGTGTCTGCATGGATCAGCGTGTACATATGGGTCAGTGTGCGTCAGTCTGCATGGGTTAGAGCGTGTGTGTCAGTTTGCATGGGTCTACTTGAGTCAGCGTGTGTATTAGTCTGCATGATTGGGTGGAGCAAACGGGGCGGCAAATTTGTTTTTGCCTAGGGCGGCAAAAATGCTTGCACTGGCCCTGTTTATAAATATAAAAAAGCTAAGGTGCTATGGAAAAATGCAAAGTTCTAATCGTAATGTTAACGTATAAAGTTTTTATTTACTTTGATATGCTAGTAAAACACTCATCATCTGTGCATTCTGCAGTAATTTAATAAATAGTATAATAATAATAATAATGAAAAAAAAAGACCAATAGTAGCACAGAGACTGGCCCTGTATATGTTTGAATAGAGCTCTCATATCCCTCTGAACTGTAGATTTTTAGAAAACTTGTGCCACATGTATGCAGATGAACAGAAAGAATGCGAAAACCCAAAGGTGGCAAGGTGTCCAATGATTTTCAGATCAATCCGCTGACAGGTTTCCATCCATTTCTGGGGTTTCTATCGCCAAATCTTGGACATCTTGACATTCAGTGGAGTCTTGTGTATCGGGTGACTTTTTCTTGCACTGTCCATTAATGCAAGGTCTTACTATGGCACATAGTTCCATCTCTATAGTACTGGAGTTTTCCTCAGTTCCTGACGGGTTTTCATCTACTACTGCAATGTTTATTGGCATGTCTTGCGCATCTTGGAATTCAGCTGAGTCTTGTGTAGCTGGTGCGTCATTCTTGCACAAGCCATTCTGAGAAGGTTTTACAATGGCCAAGCATATAGCACCAAGTGCCATCCCGACAGCACTGAAGTAAAATGCAGACCCATAGTATTTTGTTTTGTCCACCAGTACACCTAAATAAAAGAAAATAAAACAAAAAAAGTAGAAACATTACTTTCAGCCATATAATCTACTGCAGACATAGCTTGTACTTATGTTAAACTAAACTTTTCACTCTATCTGTACCTCTATTAAAACTTCTCAGTGCTTCTGATACTTATCTTGCTACAAAAGGGATAGAACATGGCCTGATTTCCCAGGTGCCTACATTCCTATCAATATTTACAAAACATTTAGACCTGCTGATTTTAGCCAGCTATTTAAACATATATTTCACAGAATTCTTAGCCCCAGTGTTTGCTCCATCAGTGCAAACATTCCTGCTTTTTTTGTATAAAAATCCCTTTGTCCAGACTAGGACTATGAACTATTGAGCAGGCACTGAGTCAGATGTAATTATTACACATTCACACAGCGCCTGATACTTGTGGAGTTTATAAACAGTTTTCCAGAGGATGCTGGACTGACTAAAACAGTCACATCTGTCATATTGCAGGGTTCGCAGTGTTGCATAGCTCATTCAAATACTCAAAATAGGGTGACTCTAATCATTGTAGACAATATATGTTTCTGTTATCATGGCACAAGGTAACAAGCCCTGTGAAGACACTCAGAGTTTTGCAGGTTGTCATTATTTTAAATTTTGGAGTGGGCATTGGCAGAGGCCAACAGGGAAGATCAAAGGATGCCCAGTGCTGGCCCATGCACAGCTGGTGCTATTCAAGTGCTTGTCTTGTTGCGTGAATTCATGAGATAAAAAAAATTATTATAACAAATTGTATTAGTTACCTGTTAATGGGGGTCCCGTCAGGGATGTGAAACTTTGAATAAAGACAAAGACTCCAACTGCTGATTCCATCTTCTCGATGCCAACAATGTCCTTTTCCCCTATCAGCGGAATGTAAGTTGCTGCAACAGCTCCCATCATGTAGCTGTAAAAGAAGCTACATGCCATCAGTCCCAGAAAAGTCTGAGCAAAAGGGATGGCAACAAGAGCTAGGCACAGCAGGATGACAAATGTCAGTTCAATGTAAATCTTATTTATTGGCTCCTTGTGCATGATAAAGCCTGCACTAATTCTTCCAAGGAGCTCAGCAAAGGCCATGAAGATAAGGATGCGTGTTGAAAGTTCTTCAGGTATGCCCAGACTTACACTGTAAGGGATAATGAATAGGGGAGGTACAGAAGTGCCAAAGACAGAAAATAATCCAAATAGTGTGTAAAATATAAAGCTGGTATTTTTCAATACAGAAAAATCAAGTACAAGCTCATCCTTTTCAGACTCTACTGGCTCAAGCATCTTCTCCTCTTTGGGCATGTCAGTCTTTGCCTTTGAATTGTCTACAGAATCTGTGACGTCTATAGTAATGAGTGTGTCCTTATTATCAAGCTTCTCAATGTCTGAATGTTGTTTTGGGTCTTCCTCTGGTATAATAATGATTGGCTGTAGCAAGAATCCACAAACCATGATGATAAGTTGCAGAGCTCCGATGACGAACAGGCAAATTCTCCAGCCCTTGTATTGCATAAGTGCAGTATAAGCTGAAAAGAAAAGAAAAAACCATTATGAGCATGTAAGTGGGAAACAGTCATCAGAAAAATATAAATCTCACAATATGTTTTTAGTTAAAAGCCTTAAAACGTTCTTCATATTAGTATTCGTTTATACAGAATTTGTTGGCACTATATAAGTGTCAATAATAATAATAATAATAATAAAAGGAGCAATGATTAGCTAGAAATGGAATTTACAGTGCTTAAGTCAAAAATTGCCAAACTGGGATCAATATTGAGTTGAAACACAGTTCCCAATTTGCAGAACTGTTCCCGAATTCACCACAGTTTTGTTTGTTGTTGGGTTTACTCACCAAACTGTGAATTGCAAACCGCATTAAAAAAAATAAAAATAAAAAGAAATGTATAGTCACAACTTGGCTATTTTTGTTATTAGGTTTGCAAGTCACTAGCATTCAGTCATTATCCATATAATTGTGCTTTGCAGTCTGCTGAAAAGTAGTTCTATGACCAAACATTTTTAGACCAGATTTATGTTAAGACACTTTTCAGGTGGCAAAGCCATTTTAAACACACCTTTTTTATTTAAAGTAAAAGAGGGCTGGTCACAAATGCTTGACAACAGCATTATAAACTACTAGATAGCACTGAAATTCTAATGTTGTGTCCATGTTAGATCCATATAACGTGAGGCTCTTTCTAATGTCACTTTTCATTTTAAAAATAGGTGAACTAGAAAATTCCTTAAAGGACCACTATAGGCACCCAGACCACTTCAGCTTAATGAAGTGGTCTGGGTGCCAGGTCCACCTAGGGTTAACCCTTTTTTTTTTATAAGCATAGCAGTTTCAGAGAAACTGCTATGTTTATAAATGGGTTAATCCAGCCTCTAGTGGCTGTCTCTTGACCGCCTGCTAGAGGCGCTTGCGTGCTTCTCACTGTGAAAATCACAGTGAGAAGACGCCAGCGTCCATAGGAAAGCATTGTGAATGCTTTCCTATGGACTGGCTGAATGCGCGCGCAGCTCCTGCCGCGCATGCGCAATTAGCCGGATAGGAGGAGGAGAGCTCCCCGCCCAGCGCTGGAGAAAGAGGTAAATTTAACCCCTTCCTCCCCCTAGAGCCCGGCTGGAGGGGGACCCTGAGGGTGGGCGCACCCTCAGGGCACTATAGTGCCAGGAAAACAAGTGTGTTTTCCTGGCACTATAGTTGTCCTTTAAGCAGGAATGCCTTCAGTTCAGCTACTTTGGCCTTAAATTTTAAATTCACTCTGAATTCTCACTCTATTAAAGGGACACTAAAAACATATAAAGTCACCTGAACAACTTTAGCTTAATGAAGCAGTTTTGGTGTATAGAACATGCCCCTGCAGCCTCACTGCTCAATCCTCTGCCATTTAGGAGTTAAATCCCTTTGTTTCTGAACCCTAGTCACACCTCCCTGCATGTGACTTGCACAGCCTTCCATAAACACTTCCTGTAAAGAGAGCACTATTTAGGTTTTCTTTATTGCAAGTTCTGTTTAATTAAGATTTTCTTATCCCCTGCTATGTTAATAGCTTGCTAGACCCTGCAAGAGCCTCCTGTATGTGATTAAAGTTCAATTTAGAGATTGAGATACAATTACTTAAGGTAAATTACATCTGTTTGGAAGTGAAACCAGTTTTTTTGTTTTTTTTTCATGCAGGCTCTGTCAATCATAGCCAGGGGAGGTGTGGCTATGGCTACATAAACAGAAACAAAGTGATTTAACTCCTAAATGACAATGACTTCAGCAGTGAAATTGCAGGGGAATGATCTATACACAAAAACTGCTTTATTTAGCTAAAGTAATTTAGGTGACTATAGTGTTCCTTTAAATAGCCCTGAGAAGCTCTTTCCAGCATTCAAAAAAATGTTTCCACTGGTGGGGGAATTCTTTCCTTAGCGGTTCAATCTTGTCGGTAAAGTAGCATGCAAAGCATTGGCTGTAAGGTTAGTTTGGGGGGTGGCCACAGCAAGGTGAGGAAGAGAGTTAAAGGTGTCAAAGAGACGCATGGGATTGCAGGAGCATGAACTAATGAGAGAGGAAAAGTATGACTGTTTGGCGAGGACAAGGGCTGCGCTGTATGAACACAATATGAATTTATAATGGTGAAAGTCTGCCAGGCTGCAAGACTTACTCCATGAGCGTTCAGCACAACGGGAGCATCTTTGCAAGTAGCGTCTTGATTTAGTATGCCACGGTTGGGCGCGTACCCTCCTCAAGGTGCATGTTTAGAGCGGGGCTGCAGCGTTCAAGGTAGAGGTGAGGGACAGGTGAGGAAAGGGATGGATAGCAGTTGTGAATCAATATCAGCTGACAGCTGCTGGAGGTCAATAGAATACTAGAACCTTTTGTCCCACATGAAAACTATGCTGTCGGGTACTCCAATTTTACCATGCTTTCTTTTGCCCCTGAGCCACGTGGAGGTTCTCTTTTACCATCTTAGCCAACTGTTCCATGCGGTCTCAGAGTTCCAGCACATATGCACTATGTGGGTTCCCTCCCGCTCAGTTTCCCCTTCCCAGTGCTCCATAATGAGATCGATGGGGTCCTCGTACCCTACTCCCAAATAGTTCAAAAGGGGAAAACCCGGTGGATTCCCGCGGTACCTCTCGATAAGCAAACAAGAGATGGGGTAGGAATCTCTCCCAGTCTCTGCAAGCGGCGGTGAGCATTCGCAACATTTGCTTGAGTATGCTATTAAACCGCTCACAGAGACCATTGGTCTGGGCGTGGTAGGGAGAACTCAGGATGGGTTTTATCCCACACACTTTACACAACTGATGAGTACTGTCTGCTGTGAATTGGGTGTCCTGTTCCAAAAGGATCTGCCTGGGAAAACCTATTTCAGAGAATATCCAGATCAGTGCATCTGCTACGGTTTCTGCTTGGATGTTAGTCAAAGCGACTGCTTCAGGATAGCGGGTAGCATACTCCACTATGGTAAGTATATACTTTTTACTGGAGGGACTAGGTCTCGCTAGGGTTCCTATTATATTGACCGCTATTCAGCTGAATGGTTCCTCAATGATCGGCATGGACTGCAGCCGAGCCTTGGGGTGATCTCTTTCCCATCCGTTGACAAACATCACAAGTTTGTCAGTACTGCTGAACATCTTGATTCCCGGTCAAAAGAAGTTCTGAGTTACTCTATGAGACGTCCAGCCTATGTCCAGATGTTCTGCCAAAGGTACATTGTGTCCGATCCGCAGGAGTTCCAGCTGAGACTTCCTGGGAACTACAAGCTGGTGCTTCTGGGATGGGGCTGCCCCTCTATTATGATTCTCTGTTAACTGATATAGCCTGTCCTGTTCCCAAATAAACTTTTCCCTCTCTAAACCCCCTTGTTCAGTGTCTGCCTGGGTCGTATACTTTTGGATGTGTGGGTCTTCCCTTGCCTCCCTCCCAAACTCCTCTGGGGTGTCCCAAGCTAACTAGGCCAGGTCTCCTGTCAGGGTTGGGGAGTCGTCTCTTACCTGGATCTCCTCAGAACGTGAGCCAGCCGGGCTTGAAGATGAGTCATTACTGGATGAGCTTCCGCAGGGTTCCTGGTAATGTAGGCTGAGGTAAGGGTCACCAAATCACTCCCGAGCAGTACCTCCGTGGGCAAGTCTTTCATAATCCCCACGTTCACAGTACTGCATCCAGCTCCCCAATCCATGTGAACTCGGGCAGTGGGTAGTCTGTAGATAGCTCCCTCGGCTACCCTAATGGCCACAGATTACCCAGTATGTTCATTGTCCTGAGCCAAGTGGCGTTGTACTAATGTCAGGGTAGCTCTGGTGTCTCTCAGTTCCCTAGCCGTTTGTCTGTTTACAAGGACCAACTGCCTATGTTGTTGACGGTTGTCCATGGTAGCAGCCTTCAGCTTCATGTAATACTCTCGAGGATTCTTCTGGTATAGGCTGGGACTCTTTTGAGGGATACGTGTTCTCTGCTTCTAAGCAGTGGGCTGTGGCCCTGGGTGGTACAGGGTTGGTATGACCCCACGAGGGTCTTGGGGGTTTCAGTGGGCAGTTGCACCTTACATGCACTAGTTGCTGGCATCGGAAGCATCTGGGCCCGGTTTTTGTTGGTGCTGTTTGGTTCCCAGGTGGTCCCATGTAAGGTGGTTGAAGTTGGTTGGAGGTTCCTGGAGCAGCAACTTCGGTGCGGGTTAGGTCTTACCGGTGGTCATTCAGTTTTTCAAGTGTCTGTGTATACATCTGCCAGGCGGGCAGCCTCTGGTAAAGTGTGCAGTCTCCTTTCTCAGATCTGGGTTAAGTAGGTTAAAAAAATGTTCCATTAAGGATAATTGTAGGATATCCTCTCCCGACAAGGCTGGGCACCCTATATCCAGTATAAGGCATCTCTGTGGAGGCGGCATTCTGCATAGGAGTCTTTATCCTGCTTTCGCAATTCCATAAACTGCCTGCGGTATGCTTAAGGGGTGACTGCATACCTGGCTAGCAGGGCTTCTTTCTATCTTTCATACTGATGAATCTCCCCATCTGGTATGGCCCAGAATACCTCAGCAGCTCATCCTGATCATTTTCCAGCCAGTATCATTACCCAGTCATCCTCTGGTACTTTGTGTAGAGCGCACTGCCTTTCAAAATCTGCGAGATTTCCATCAATCTCGTCTGTCTCTTGAAATGCTTTGAAGGCTGTGAAAGGTACCTTCCTACGTTCTGGCTGTGGAGTGGGGCTTTCAGTCACCAGAGCTCCCGAACACTGTATCCACTCTTGGGGAAAAGAACCACCACACAGCTGCCACTAGATGTGGCGGCCACCAGATAGGGACTTGGGTCTCGCCGCCAAGGATTTCCTTTTCCCCCTCTCTGGAACTCTGGTGCGCTGGATTTAGTGGTTATAGCTGCTGAGTGATTATAGCAAGCTGAATGATTATAGCTTTCCCCCACAGACATTAGCCAAGACATAATGCTGGGAGTGAACTGGTTTAATGGGGTATGGTACATACAATTTATACACAGGGTACAGTTCAATACAAACTCCTCACCGGTGTCCCTGTGTCTGGGAGATAACTGAGTGTACTTTGCTTAAACTAATTATCTCCCAGGCACAGAGGTACCATGTATAAAACACATAACACCCCAAAACAAATACAATATTACAAGGGACCCCTTGGGGATACAAGTCCTATATACCCAAATAGCCTGGATCTGAGCGCCCAAAGTGTCCAAATAGGGCTTAGATCCCACGAATACAGCGGAGTCGCCACCGGGGTAAAGTGTTGACTGACCGCACACGTGTTGTCTGCCCAAAATAGTTCCAGAGGAAAAGTGGAGGTGGTTGGTCACTTTCGGGAGTCCCAAAACGAATAAAGCACCAAACAGATTATCTTGTTCCTATGTAGCTATTGTTCACCTAGTTTTTGCGAACAATCCTACCGAACAGCGCTCTCCTGAGATGTTTGGAAAGGGAGCAGGTGAGGATAGAAGTTCAGCGGTGTTCGCGAGTTAGTCTGTCCAATTTTAGTTCTATACACTCGACGTTCGAACACCACTGCCTGCTTTCATGCGACAAGATGGCCTCTGACTCAGTTCCCACGTGTTCGTTCATGTGAATGGCGGCCACCCAGCAGAACACTTGAAACAATTAGGTGTGAACCGATGATGAAGGTGTCAAGAGAGGTCAGTAGGGTTAACGGGCTTCAAGGTGGGCTGAGTACAGGGGGTATAAAAATAGAAAATTTGTGGTTTTGTTTAGTTACCGAACGGGAACGGAAAAAGGATACGAATACGAGTATTTTCAGTGACAGGGTGTTCTGTCACAATAGTGACAGTACAATAAGGATATAATTATATGTAACTAAAATAGAATTAAATCATTCAATTACAAAACACAATATGACAAACTAAACTGGTTTGGTACTTCTGGTTACTACAAAAATAAAATTCCTCATGAGAGATCACATGTCCATTTCCTGACACAATGATATCATTAGAGATAATATTAGCTCTCAAAGAGGGGGAGCATAACATAATTAACAAAACATGTAAATAATAGCCCCACGTAGGAATAAAAAAACTTGGAGGTTAAACTTGGAATCACACAGAAATGTGATTCCCAATCAATGTGGTTACATGACCACTACTTCAAAATACTCAGATGATGCCCACAAAGGCGTTATCAAAGGGGAAAACCTATGATGCCGCAGGAGTGATGGGGTTACCGGTCATGTGACCGCAAGCATGGTAGGTAACACTTTTGATGAGGTATTGACAGTTGAAAAGTAGATGGTTGCACAATGTTTACAGGGAATGCTTAAACTAGGAGTAAGCCAGGTGACTGATAAAATAAGAAAAAAAAATTCCCAGTGGCTGCTGTCTATTGTACTGGCCAGTCTCCACATACATAAACATTGTACTACCTTGAAGTTTTTAATGATTTCCTTGCTGACATCTAGAGCTGCTAGGGAACAAATAGTCCAGATTTTTAGCATCTGGGTCCTTATTTTTGCCATTTTGTTGCAGCTGGACAGGTTAAATGCGGTGGACTTTCAAACGGTTGTATTGCAAAATTCCCACAGGTGTAATCTGGTCCATGTGCACTGACCCGTTGGTTATTGTTACTTTAGGGAGGGCAGACACTAGTTAATTATAGATCTTACCTGGAACAAATACAATGACTGCAAAACATTCCCCTGTGGTTGCAGCAGAAATAACCAGGGACCGGCGCCTGTCAAAGTACTGTGACAAAATGGTGAGGCTTGGGAAGAAGCTAAGGCTGTAGCCAAGTCCTAAATGAAAAAATAAACATAGTATTGAGAATTCACATTGAAACAGAACTGCTACCAACTAGCTGTCCTTAGATTCTATGTAGCAAGCTTAATTGCTATGGCAAATTGATTGTGCATCAACCCTTTATTCATAAGTAATTATTATTGAACAGATCTATAATTATTACTGACTATAATATTAAAATTTAGAATAATGAGACATTAGGTAATCTAACAAGTATAGCAATGTTATAAGTTACTACCTAGTTACTTTTCATACATTTTACTTGTACATACAGTTATTTGTTTAGCTCTACATTTTCATGAATAAAATAAAAATGGAAAACTAAGGGAATACTTAAAAATTCCCAGACTCTTTCCATTCTATTTTGTGAATCACCATTTTTGTATTAATTAAATTACATTTTCTCGTATATGTCTATTATTTAAGTCTATAAGACCCTTTTTTTTTTAATCCATAATTCTGGTTGAGGCTGATTTTTATTGTCAACCCATCTCAAGGAGTCCGAGCAACTATTTGCTGCTTGCAGTGATTAATTCAAACAGTAATTTACTAAAGTCTGAATGGTCCATACTGAATGGGGCAAATCAATATGGTTGACTACTCATACAGACCCCTTGTAACAGATGCCCTGTTTGTTGGATTTCTAATTTTATTGCTATCTATTTATTTACACTACCATTCACCTAAAACGATATACGAATTGAAACAAACAAACTTTACCCAGCTAATTTGTATACCGAACGTTTTACCGAACCTTTCGACCACCCAAGACAGTCATGTGCAGTCAATTGACTTATTTGACACTATTACAAACTGCAACTCTAACATTCTAAGTGGTTCACTGGGTGGCTGTCGATTCGTATGCACGAACACGTGGCGGTGGCCATCTTGTTTTGTCGAACGCATCCAGCGGGGTTTGGTCGTCAAGTGTCTGGAACTATTTTCAGACACTCGATGGCCTGAACACAGCTGAGACTTCCAGGACCACTTAGATTCATATTCATTCATCCGAAGAAGGCGGCATTCGGTAACACGGTAAGAGGCACACGACCATCGTACGCATGAACGAGTAGTTGAACTATTGTTCGACATTTTACCCTGCACAAAAGAGACCAGCCGCACCAGCTGAATTCATGGAACTATTCTGGGCAGGATCCTCGTGCGTGGCAGGGCAGAAATGGGACTTCCACCTAACTTTCGAACCCCTGAACCGATTTGAATGATTTTTAAATATGTTGTTCCCCCAGATAGGGGTTATCAGGAGATGTATGTTATTCCAGGGTGCTTCTAGAAATGCATAAAATTGTCCCTCTTTTTCATTTGGAGATAATTGAGTTGATACAGTAATTAACTCAAATATCTCCCAAGCAGAGGGGAGGGAATGTGTGTAAGGTATGGTGTGTCTCTCTGTCTGACTCTATGCTTATTGGCGGTTCACTGTGTGTCCCTGTGCCCAACAAGGTCCACCTGGGTGTCATCCTTGTTGGGAAAAGTTGCATAAAAGGCCAGTGTGGCCCCATTAACAATCAGTTCTGCCTAACCCTCAACACGTAGCCTTGTCTCGTGCTTGTAGGGAACCTGCTTCACAACTAATCACTAGCTCTTGTAAGAGCTCTACTACCTATTTGGAGATTTGATCGGCTGAGGTGACATCTGGAGAATACTGCAGCATAGCTCCTTCTATAGGAAAAGGACGTCTTTAACGGCATACTCCTCTTTGATACTCAAGGGGGCCGTATAAGTCTTATTTATTATTATTTTACACCTTCTTGTTGTGGTGGCTGGCTAGCAAGTGCAATTCTATCTAGTCTCCCTAAATATAGTAATATCTTAGCTTTATTCTAGTCTGCTGGGGCTGTCTCTGTCCCTGATCTGCCTCTTTTGCTAACATCATCAGAAGTGATGATCTCAGTCAATTAAAATGCTTCCACATAGGAAAGCATTGGATTGGCTGAGATTGTCAATTCTGATTGTCACGCCAAGGGTGCATAATTCATTGTTGCACTATAGAATATTGCCATTTAATGTAATTAATGTAGTGCATATATGAATTGGCCACTTAGTAGAGGTCAGATGACAGAAGGGGTAATGTGAATTGCATAGGAATGTGAAAAGGGTCAGATGGCTTACAACAACCATGTCAAACTCAAAGGCTAACACGTTTAAAATAAACAAGGTTTAAGTTTATATGGGCTGCAAAAAAACAAAAACTTCAGTTTTCACAGAGACGTAGGTTTATTTAGAAAAGTACAGTATAAAAAAAGTTGCCTAACAGACACTGGATGTCCTCACACTCATAGGGCTTCAAAGTAAACAAAAGAGCAAATTTATTTTACGGAGACGTGCATTTACATATAACCAATGAATTAGCCCAACTACCCTGACATATTAAGAAAAGTTTGGTAATGGGACTGAAATGCTGAATGTATGCGGTTGCACAGTTGTAAAAAAACAAATAACGTTATCTTGTTGATTTTGAAGTCCTATGAGTGTGTTCTTCTCTTTGGCTAAAATATTCAAACTTGATGATCTCAGCCAATCCAATGCTTTCCCACAGGAAAGCATTGGGAGGCTAGTGTGGATGTGTGGTAAAAAGCTGCGTGGCCAATCAGCATCTTACTGCCCCCTCCGTCCATTCTAATATACTGCCCACATATCCAATACACTGCTCCCTCCCCCCATTCTGATACACTGCCCTCTCCACCCATTCTAATACATGGCTTCTTAATCTAAGAAGCTGCCCCTCCTCCCAGCACTCTAGTTTAATACACTGTCCTCCCTCCATTTTAACACACTGCCCCCTCCCACCACTCTAATACACTTCCCCCTCCCTCCCCCAAATTAATACACTGGCCCCCTCCCCAATTTAATACATTGGCCTTCTCCCTCCCCCAAATTACTACAGTGCCCCCTCCCTCAAATTAATACACTGTCCCCCCTCCCCAATTTAGCACACTACACAGGAAGGTCTCCCAAACCCCTCTTCCCCTACCTTAAGATGAGCAGCCCATCATCTAGTTCCAGCCCTGCTCTTCTCTGCTCAAGCAGGCCAGATACTCCTCTGGCACTGCGAGCAGGAGGGAAGGGGGAGTGACTGGCCTGCAGGAGCACGCGATCGGCCATGGTAGGGAAAACATGAATCAGACAGGAATACAACACAAAGTGGCCCCAGGGCAGATGGGTCGCAAATATATCCATTGTGGGCCGCATGTTTGAAATGATTGGCTTACAACATGGATTTATCCTTTTATTAATCAAAGGCTCTGCAAGGTGTGAAATTCTACACTTGAAGAGCCTGTATGTCTAGTTCCAATGTAAACTAACTGACTTCAACCATATGGCCTGTAACTTTTAATTGATGGGTTAATTTATTTGATGTGTTAATGATCATTAGCTTTTAAGAAAAAAACCCTTGTGTTCCAGTATCAGATCCAAACGAAACATTAATATTTACCACAGATTAATAATTAAGCCTCATTTTTATTATATTTAGAATGGGACCAGCACAATCTTCTAATCAAGCCTAAACATTATTGGCCTAACTTAATCATATGGGAAGGGATTGTGATGTCCGCTATAGAGGGTCACAAGTAAGAAGTGTGACGTATCTATGGATGGTAACAAATTCATAGATGCAATTATTATTTCGGTGGCACGTACAAAAGAGGAGATAGAAGAAAAAGTTTCTATTTGGATTGATGTTGGTCTGGAACACAACGGAGTGGTCACTTATTGTTTCTAGAGGCACACCTTGGTAATCCACAGGGTATATATCCAATGCTATTGAAATGTGTATTGTACTTGCTTGGAGCCAAAATCTAGTTTAAGTGAGTCACCATCTTCCTTGCCAGAGACCCCCTGGGCAGAAGTTTTACTTTAAAAAAATGAGTAAGTGATTAGGACTTCTGTCATTTTATCCTAATTTCTATATTGTTATGGTTAAGTGTGGATGGTAAGTGGGATTTTATCATAATTTCCGGTCTTGTGCAGGCAAATAGTGAACTTTAACCCTTTCACCACCACAACTACGTCACGCTCACTCTTGAAGTAGGGTGCGTTCGTGATAAATTGGTGGCATAGTGTGGGATAACTAAAAAATTTTTCATCTTTTTGTACCAGATTTTAGTGTTGCTGGATTGGCTCGTTAATCCAGACACTAAAATAAGTTGTGTCTCAATTTCCAAAGGGTGAACTCAGTGCATATATAATATATTTCAACCTTTAACAGTCCCGCCTACTTCTCTGTTTTTCCTGGCTATCTTTTATTTACTAAATGGAGTACCAACTGCAGTCCAAGGCAGTGCTAGACCAGCTTTGCCGGGAGAGATCTATTTCAAGTCGGGGAAAAACAAAAGAGGAGCTATTACAAGCACTGGTGGATTATGATATACAACAAGCACTGCAAAGAGGAAAATACTTGTAGCTTTTGTCCATGATGTGTCGAGATCTGGAGATCCCTTGGATTCTTACTTACAAACTGTGTTGAAATATGTAGACTCAGCAGATACAAACCAAAGACTACAGCTTATCCTTACATATCAGGATGCTGAGAGAAAAAGAGAGACTATAGATCATATAATAACAATAGATAAAAAAGGTTAAAAATAAGGAAAAATGCTCCAATCACCTGTGTGTGTCACCCAAACCACACAGAATACAGTACTAAAAGTGAATAAACAATTGGATAAGAGCACACAAAAATGTATAAAATATCACAAACATGCAAGTTACCATAAAAGAGGATATAACCTAAAAAAACAATAGACAACAGATCATAGTGAAATCTGTATAAAATAGTTTAAAACAAGTGAAAGCAAATTGGTCTCAATCACGTGGTACTGAGCCGTTTGTAGTGGGCTCAGACTTTAAGCGCCTTGGGATACATGTAGTTGGTTGCTGAGATCAAGTACTGGAATCAGATACTGGAATATTCCGCTGGATACTAAAACTTCCCTTCAGGTTATCAGTAAACACCAAAAAAAGGGGGGTTGGTAAAGGTAGCCAGAACAAACTTTAATAAGAATGTTAAAAATATATTGTAAAATAAAAGATCTCTCATAAACAACCGGACTGACGCATTTCGACAACAGTCTTTCTCGAAGTGCTTGGTAATGTCTTAAACTCACTGTTCTTTATTTTTTTTTAAATATCCCAAAAAAGCGTGTTTTCTCTCTCCGCCTGTGATCTTCGCCGTATCTGGGTAAGTTACTTCCGGGTGCATCATTTCCTGGTCAGCGGGTAGTGCACGTCTCTAGTTGGTGATGTATTTCCAGCTTATCCGATCACATGATGAAGTTAGATCCGACAAATGTGCGCTAACTTGTAAACAAAGTCCAACATAGATCAAATCTATACATTCTAATAATTGGAAGAAGAGTTGGCATAATACATCCATAAAAGCAATATATATAATTCATTAAAATATAAATAAACAGGGTGGCGGAGCTTGACCGCCATGCAGAGAAGTCGTATGCACCCAGAGCTCCCAGCAAACGGCTGACTTTAGGCCCCCTGTACCCTGACCCAGACAAGTTAAATGGGTCCCATGGCCACCCACATCACAGAACCATCAATGGGAACGGGACAGAGGCACTACAAGCTCTCCGGAGGCACGAGCCGAGGCAGGTCCGACTTGCGGCCTAGCAGTTGATGCGGGGCTGGGGACGCGGCTGGTCCACCAGTCCCGACGTCCTGCAGACGCTGAACCTCTCCCCCTTCCCCCGGACCGTTGGGGGTCACCACGGTCTACCAGGGCGCCCACACAAGCCCGAACACCTGCACACGAGCCCTGCCGAGCGGGCACGGCCAGGAGGAGGAGGCATCAGCACTCCGCTCACGTAAAATGGTGGCAGGCAGCATCGGGGAAATCCCTGTCGTCAACAAGTGTTGAGCTGCCAGGAGTGCCGGTGGCTGGAAAGATCAGCAACAACATCCCACAGCCATGACCTGGAGGGAGACAGCGCAGGGGTGAAAGCCCAACGACAAGTGGAGGCGAGAGGCCATATCCACCGCACCACACACCGACGCACTGCATACTAAGGGACCTGGAGATATCCGGTTCTGACCACATCCATACCTCCACCCAGGACTCAAAGACCCAACATAAAGAACCGGTGAAGATCTACCCAGCATGGACTGACACTGGGACTAAACGCTACCCGGAGAGCGCCCGCCACCACTCCTTACCCAGCCGCATGCCCTGCTGACTTGTGCTGCCTCCACCTGCAATAACGGGAACCACCTGGCGCGTAGCTGACTTACCAATGGAGTCGTGGTTACCACACTCACTCGGGACTCTGACGCTACTCATAAGTTGTAAGCGTGATTAAATAATGACATACAGAGTGCAGAATTATTAGGCAAGTTGTATTTTTGAGGATTAATTTTATTATTGAACAACAACCATGTTCTCAATGAACCCAAAAAACTCATTAATATCAAAGCTGAATATTTTTGGAAGTAGTTTTTAGTTTGTTTTTAGTTTTAGCTATGTTAGGGGGATATCTGTGTGTGCAGGTGACTATTACTGTGCATAATTATTAGGCAACTTAACAAAAAACAAATATATACCCATTTCAATTATTTATTATTACCAGTGAAACCAATATAACATCTCAACATTCACAAATATACATTTCTGACATTCAAAAACAAAACAAAAACAAATCAGTGACCAATATAGCCACCTTTCTTTGCAAGGACACTCAAAAGCCTGCCATCCATGGATTCTGTCAGTGTTTTGATCTGTTCACCATCAACATTGCGTGCAGCAGCAACCACAGCCTCCCAGACACTGTTCAGAGAGGTGTACTGTTTTCCCTCCTTGTAAATCTCACATTTGATGATGGACCACAGGTTCTCAATGGGGTTCAGATCAGGTGAACAAGGAGGCCATGTCATTAGATTTCCTTCTTTTATACCCTTTCTTGCCAGCCACGCTGTGGAGTACTTGGACGCGTGTGATGGAGCATTGTCCTGCATGAAAATCATGTTTTTCTGAAGGATGCAGACTTCTTCCTGTACCACTGCTTGAAGAAGGTGTCTTCCAGGAACTGGCAGTAGGACTGGGAGTTGAGCTTGACTCCATCCTCAACCTGAAAAGGCCCCACAAGCTCATCTTTGATGATACCAGCCCAAACCAGTACTCCACCTCCACCTTGCTGGCGTCTGAGTCGGACTGGAGCTCTCTGCCCTTTACCAATCCAGCCACGGGCCCATCCATCTGGCCCATCAAGACTCACTCTCATTTCATCAGTCCATAAAACCTTAGAAAAATCAGTCTTGAGATATTTCTTGGCCCAGTCTTGACGTTTCAGCTTGTGTGTCTTGTTCAGTGGTGGTCGTCTTTCAGCCTTTCTTACCTTGGCCATGTCTCTGAGTATTGCACACCTTGTGCTTTTGGGCACTCCAGTGATGTTGCAGCTCTGAAATATGGCCAAACTGGTGGCAAGTGGCATCGTGGCAGCTGCACGCTTGACTTTTCTCAGTTCATGGGCAGTTATTTTGCGCCTTGGTTTTTCCACACGCTTCTTGCGACCCTGTTGACTATTTTGAATGAAACGCTTGATTGTTCGATGATCACGCTTCAGAAGCTTTGCAATTTTAAGAGTGCTGCATCCCTCTGCAAGATATCTCACTATTTTTGACTTTTCTGAGCCTGTCAAGTCCTTCTTTTGACCCATTTTGCCAAAGGAAAGGAAGTTGCCTAATAATTATGCACACCTGATATAGGGTGTTGATGTCATTAGACCACACCCCTTCTCATTACAGAGATGCACATCACCTAATATGCTTAATTGGTAGTAGGCTTTCGAGCCTATACAGCTTGGAGTAAGACAACATGCATAAAGAGGATGATGTGGTCAAAATACTCATTTGCCTAATAATTCTGCACTCCCTGTATATACCTGCTTAGTCATAAAGCACTAGGTCTGCTTAGGAGGGGACCTGCTGTCAAGTCTAAAGCGCATCGTGCATGATGCCCCCCAGTTTTCTAAGTATAAGCCTAGCTCAAAAGCCTATTTGATGTTTATAATGCGATCACATTCTTCAGTGGTGTTATTTTATATGTATGAGCACCTTGGTTAAATCATTAAAGCCATAAAAGCGACTGTACTTAAATCTTAGTATTACACAGCAACGTTTTAATGAAGCGGAAAGGTTTAGATAATAAAGCGATGACATTTGACATAAAAATTAGTATTGACTTTAAGATAATGTTCCTACTCACTAAAGCAGCTTATTATGACAGATGTAGTTATAGCATCTACCTAGCTTGTAATGTTAATTAAAAATTGTGCGTTTACTCTGAAAACAAAAAAAATATATAAACAAACATTCCATAAAATAAAGATGTCCTCACAAACATGATAAACATTCCATAAGATAAAAATGTCCTCACAAACATGATAAACAAGAGGAAAGAAAGGGGAGAAAAGGGGGCTTAAGAGGGTAAATATATAATGATAAATAATAATAATCTTAATAAAACACACCAATATTCATAAAGCCCATATATAAAAATAAATATATCAATTAGAGGAGTGTTTAACCCCTTAAGGACCAAAATTATGGAATAAAAGGGAATCATGACATGTCACACATGTCATGTGTCCTTAAGGGGTTAAAGGGACACTACAGTCACCCAGACCAATTCAGCTCAATTAAGTGGTCTGGGTGCCAGGTCCCTCAGGTTTTAACCCTTAAGATGTAAACATAGCAGTTTAGAGAAACTGCTATGTTTACATAGCAGGTTTAACCCCTTCCCGACCGAGGACGGTTCAGGACCGTCATCGGCATTTTTGGCTTGCCGACCGATGACGGTCCTGAACCGTCCTAACGGTCTGAGCTACTTACCTGATCGCCGTCATTCCCCCGGTGGCGATCAGCGTGGCTCCGGTTGTGGGGAGACTGTCTGCAGCCCAGACAGTCTCCCCACACTGAATTAGGACCCCTGTGGCCATGTGATCGCTCAACACTGCGATCACATGGTCACAATGGGTGTCCATAGTGCTGCCTGCAGGGGGACTGTCTGTGCTGACAGGCAGTCTCCCTGCTAGTGTAAAATCAATTAAAAAAATAAAGTTAATGTTAATAAAAAAATAATAATAATTATATAGGTGTATATATGATATATAGACATATATTATATCTATATAATATATGTCTATATATCATATATATAATGTCATACTAAGTGTATTTATATATTAATATGTACTTATATTAATATAAAAATACACTTATAATTAAATTACACACGTATATATATAATATATCTAATAACTATATATATTGTATATATATATATTATTATAAAATATAAATAATAAGTAATTTAAATTAAATAATTTTTTTTTAAATAATAATAAAAAATGTTAAAAAAATTATATAGGTATATGAAATTTTATTCTAACTGTATTTTAAAATTAATATATATATATTTATATCAAAATACACTTAGAATGAATTTGTATATATATCTATGTATATATAAATAAATAAAAATAATACGAAATATACATATGTCCATATACAAAATTACATAAATAATTATATAAATATACACGTAGACTTCAAATATATAAATATGCATATATATTTAAATTCTACGTGCGTATTTATGTAATATTTTTACATAATTCAGTAATTTTATTGATTGCAATTTGAGGGACCTGCCTGCCAACCCAGGCCGAAATTCCAGAGAATTTAGTTTGCTACCACTGTATTTTACCCTGTAACGTTCTACGACACTCTAAAACCTGTACATGGTACTGTTTTACTCGGGAGACTTCGCTGAACACAAATATTAGTGATTCAAAACAGTAAAACATATCACAGCGATGATATTGTCAGTGAAAGTTACTTTTTTTGCATTTTTCACACACAAACAGCATTTTTACTGATGATATAATTGTTGTGATACGTTTTCCAGTTTTTAAACACTAATATTTGTGTTCAGCGATGTCTCCCGAGTAAAACAGTACCCCCCATGTACAGGTTTTATAGCATTTTTGAAAGTTACAAGGTCAAATATATGGGTCAAATATTTTTACATTGAAAATGGCCAGGTTGGTTACGTTGCCTTTGAGAGCGTATGGTAGCCCAGGAATGAGAATTACCCCATGATGGCATACCATTTGCAAAAGAAGACAACCCAAGGTATTGCAAATGGGGTATGTCCAGTCTTTTTTAGTAACCACTTGGTCACAAACACTGGCCAAAATTAGCATTCAATTTAGTTTTTTTACTTTTTTCACACACAAACAAATATGAATGCTTACTTTGGCCAGTGTTTTCGACTAAGTGGCTACTAAAAAAGACTGGACATACCCCATATTGAATACCCTGGGTTGTCTACTTTAAAAAAAATATGTACATGTGGGGTGTTCTTCCGAGATTTATGACAGATAATAGTGTTGCAATGTCACTATTGATAAATTTTAAAAATGTATGTTTTGAAACCGCAATATCCTACTTGTACATATAGCCCTATAACATGCAAAAAAAAAGCACGTAAATACTAGGTATTTTTAAACTCAGGACAAAATTTTGAATCTATTTAGCAGTTTTTTTCATTCGCTTTTGTAGATGAGTAAAAGATTTTTCAAGTAAAAGTCAAAAAACATCTATTTTTTTCAATTTTTCATCATATTTTTTTATTTTTTTTAAATTAAAATACATGTGATTATATAAATAATGGTATGTAAAGAAAGCCCCTTTTGTCCTGAAAAAAACAATATATAATTTGTATGGGAACAGTAAATGAGAAAGCGGAAAATTACAGCCAAACACAAACACCACAAAAGTGTAAAAATATGCCTGGTCGCAAATGTACAACATCGCAAAAACAGTCCAGTCCTTAAGGGGTTAATCCAGCCTCTAGTGGCTGTCTTCCTGACAGCCGCTAGAGGCGCATCTGCAACGCTGGATGCGAAATTCGCATCCAGGGTGCAGAACGTCCATAGGAAAGCATTGAGAAATGCTTTCCTATGGACTGTTTGAATGAGCGTGTGGCACTTGCCACGCATTCGCATTCCGCTCCACTCGGGAGCTGACGTCGGCTTGGGAGGAGAGGTCACCAGTGCTGAGGGAGCCCGGCGCTGGATTAAGGTAAGCTGCTGAAGGGGTTTTAACCCCTTCAGCGCCAAGGAAGGGGGACCCTGAGGGCACTCTAGTGACAGGAAAATGGGTTTGTTTTCCTGACACAATAGTGATCCTTTAATAAATCAAATGGTTACAAAAATGAAGTTATTTTAAAGTCCACATTCAAACCTTCAGGAGTTAGAGTGTCAAGATTAAACATCCATCTCATCTCGGATTTACTTAACATTTTATCTTTACAAGCCCCCCTCCAGTGGACTTTGATTTTTTCTATCCCTAAAAATTCAGTAAACACTATTTTTAGGGTGAGGGGGCAGGTAGGGGTTTATTCATTTTTTTGGGAGGGGGGTGACTAGGGGTTTGGGGACCCCTAGTCACCTGGTGGGGGCAACATTTTTATTTAGGGCCCCCACCCGCCACTCAGGGGTGTGGGCCGGGGGCAGGACAATAGGTCCCCCCCTTATTGTTATTTAGGGGCCCCCACCCACCGATCAGGGCACGGGTGGGGGCTCAGGGGGGGTGGACACTTGGGGGGGGGGGTTTGGTTGTTGTTTTTTTTTAACAGTGAGCAACAGGCTGCTCACTGTTTACTAGACATGCCCCTACTCGCAGTATAGCGAGTATGGGCAGAATTTACTAATACTAACTAATCTTTACTTAGTATTAGTAAATTTGACTGAAAGACCAATTTAGGTCTTTCAGCCTTTTGGTAGATAGCTCCCTAATACTGTGGGAATTAGGGAGTTATCTACTAAGCGGTTGCAAGAGAACATATCCGAAGTACCGAAGTTTCGAAGTCCCGAACTGAACCGAACCGAAGTGCCAAAGTTCCAAATTTCGGAATGACTAAGCAAACCGAATAGTTTACCCATGCACATCCTTAACCTATTTGTTCCTGAATATTATCAATAATAGTTTTCTGAAAACTGTTTTAAAATAAGTGATTGATCTTGATAATCTTTAAACACTGTACAATTTATCTGTAACCTAAGAAATTAACCTTTTGGTACATTTTGCGAGCCAAGGTTTAAAATGTCAGCTTTTCAAATTAATAAAACTGTTAACATCAACTTTTTTAAAATGTGTTTTACTTTTGATCTGATTCTGTTCAATAAAAACGTCTAAATCTAAAAACGTAATATATTGATCGCTAATATTGTAGTTTAATGAGTGAGTTTAATATTCCAATCATTGGAATTAAGCGTATCTAAAAAATCCACCTGGGAACTTTTACTCCCTATCCATATAATAAAAATGTAACGCTTATAGAGGACAAGGTTTGCCCCACAGTCAATGCTAGGTAGGACAAATGCCTCCTCGCAATGTGAAATAAACAAATTGGCATAACTTGGGGCAAACCTAGTCCCCATCATTGTCCCCTGAATTTGTAAATACAATTGATTTTCATACCAAAATAAATTATTGTTTAGAATCATATTGATCCCCTTCAAAATAAAATCCAGTTGTTGTTTATCAAGGTCACCAAATTTGTCCAAAAAATTGTCTACAGCTGTACAACCTCTATCATGTGCTATATTCGTGTACAAGCTGCTGACACCACAGGTGGCAATGATAACATAATTTTCCCATTTAAAAGCTTTTAAAATATTTAACAGGTTCATTGTGTCTTTAAGATAAGTTGGGCACTGTTTAACCAAATTCTGCAGAAATCTATCAATGTATTGTGATAGCTGGGATAAAAGTGAATCTATACCAGATACTATTGGCCATTGGGAGGTTCACAATATCTTTATATATCTTAGGTAATATATAAATAACTGGGATTTTAGGGTAATCAACTTTTGAAAATGTATATATTTTTTTTGTTTAAAATACCTATTTCAAACCCTTCTTTTAAAAAGATTTAATATTCTCTTTTTATTCTCTTTAATGGATTACTATCTAGTTTCAAATAGGTTGTACTATCATTGAGTTGTTTATGAATTTCTTCCAGATTTTTAGTTTTTTTTTGCCCAATTACTACACCCCCGTCCTTATCAGTGGGCTTTATGACAATAGATTTATCTTCCTTTAGATCTTTAAGTGCTTCTTTCTCTTTCCTAGTTAAGTTGTTTTGATATTTATTTGGTGGTTTTAATTTCTTGAAATCTTTAAAACACAATTTTCAAAAATTTTTCATTGCATCAGATTTTTGATTGTATGGATAAAAAGAAGAATTTTGTTTTAAATCAGTGTGTTTATAATTAACTTCAATTATTTCTTCTTTTTCCATAAAAAAGTTTTAAAACTTTTTTAAGCATAGTTTACGTAAAACCTGTTAAGATCTAAAAAAACTTTCGAACTTATCAGCACCACAGCTAGGTGCGAATTTAAAACCTTTCCTTATAACTGACATATGGGTATCTGGTAAAAATAAATTTCGAAAGGTTAAAAATTAGTATGGGCTTTTTTTCTAAATCCTCTTTATTTTCCTTTCTCTTCCTTTCTCTTCTTTTCCTTTCTCTTTCGTCCTCTATTTCCCCCTCTTCAATTTCTCGTGTTCTCTTCATAGGAGTATTTATATTCCTCTTTTTTTAGGGCCACCGTATATGAACAGGAGGAAGATAAATACAGATTACAGAAGTCAGGGCGAGAAAGGACAGTGGAATGGACCAGCACCTTAGTCGCATCTGGCGTTAAGTTGGGCGCAATGTTTTTGTGATGGAAGCAGCAGGATTTGACGTTAGACTGAACATGAGGCGTGAAGGAGAGGTCGGAGTCAAAGAGAACTCCTAGGCAGTGAGCCTGCGATGTTGAGCTGATGGTAGCACCGTTGAATTGGAGGGAGGGAGACACAGGAGTAGCAACACTTGAGGGAGGAAAGACCAGAATTTCTGTTTTGGTCAAGTTGAGTTTAAGGAAGTGGGCAAGCATCCAGTTAGAAATAGCAGAGAGGCAGTCAGAGACACTAGTCAAGAGGGATGGGGAGAGATCAGGAGAAGACTGGTAGATTTGCGTGTCATCCACATAGAAATTATATTGGGAGCCAAAGGAGCTAATGAGTTTACCAAGGGAGGCAGTATAGATAGAGAACAGTAGGTGACCAAGGACTGAACCTTGGGGTACACCAACAGAGAGGAGTTGGGGAGAAGAAGCAGAGCCAGAGAAAGAAACACTGAAAGAATGCTGGGAGAGGTAGGAAGAGCACCAGGAGAGAGCAATATCTTGTAGACCGATATTATGGAGGATGAGAAGAAGCTGTTGATGATCAACAGTGTCAAAAGCCGTAGACAGGTCAAGAAGAATTAGGATAGAGTAGTGACCACGAGATTTTGCAGCGAGTAGATCATTGGATACTTTTGTCAGTGCAGTTTCCGCAGAGTGCTTAGCGCGGAAATCAGACTGAAGCGGGTCTAGCGGAGAGTTGGACTTGAGGAAGTCTGTCAATCTTGCATACACAACTCTTTCAAGGATCTTGGATGCAAAAGGCAGTAGCGAGATAGGATGGTAGTTGGATGGGGAGTTAGGGTCAAGGTTGGGCTTCTTTAGAATTGGGGTTATAGTTGCATGTTTGAAGGGCGATGGAAATATGCCAGAGGAGAGAGAGAGAGATTGAGGGAATTAGATGCGAGGGAATTGGATCTAGGGAGCAGGTGGTGGGGCGGGAGGACTGGAGCAGAGCAGAAACCTCTTCCACTGTAGCGGGTGCAAATGAACATAGAACAGCAGAGGGAGTGAGGTTAGGGGAAGTATTGTAAGGGGAAGAAGAAAGGTGATAGATCTCTTCCCTGATTGTAGAGATCTTGTCAGTGAAGTGAGTTGCAATGTCTGAGGCGGTCAAGTTAGAAAGTGGAGGAGGAACAATAGGGCAAAGAAGAGAGTTAAATGTGTGAAATAGTCATTTGGGTTTGCAGGAGAGTGTGGTTTATGAGGGTATTGAAGTAATTTACTTTTGCAGAGGAAAGAGCCAAGCTGTATGAGCGCTGCATAAATTTATAGTGGAGAAAGTCAGACGCACAGTGAGACTTTCTCCAACAGCGTTCAGCAGTTCTGGAGCATTTTTGGAGGTATCGAGTCAGCTTGGTGTGCCAAGATTGTTGTTGGGAGCGCCTGCTGCATTTAAATGTAGGAGGTGCCATTATGTCTAGTTGAGAGGAGAGGGTGGAATTGTAGAAGGAGGTTGCAGAGCTAGGACAGGTGAGGTTTGAGATAGATAAAAGCAGTGTTTGGAAATTAGTGGAGAAATGCTCTAGGTCAAAAAATTTTAGGTTTCTGTGAGATTATGTTCAGACAGTGGTGTCAATTGGGTCTTGGGTATGCCGATGTCAGCAGATGATGGTCAGATAGAGGAAAAGGAATATTGGAAAGATTAGAGGCGGTACAGAGATTGGTGAAGGCGAGACCAAGAGCATTTCCTGCTGTATGGGTTGCTAAATTGGCCATTGCTTAAGGCCAAAGGAGGAGGTTAAAGAGAGCAGATGACATGTAGAATGTCCTGTGTACAGCCAGTTAGGTCTGTCCCCGGTGTGTCAGCGAGTATATGCATCTCTAGCGTAAGGGCGTATGTGCAGTGTGGCGAGACATTAGACAGCATATAAGGTGTGAGTAACATGAGTCGGTCAAGCTTGTGAAGGAGATGTGCAGGTTGCCTTGTGGTGTGTTGCTGGGCATTTGTAGTGAAAGACTGGGTGATGTCTTAGCGTGCCCCAATAGAGTGTTAAAGCAAGGCCCCTGCCATCCAGGATGGGTGCCTCTATCCAAGGGGGCCGCAGGGGTGGGAGAGTAGAGCTGGAGGAGTGTTGAGGGTGTGAGTTGCTGTGTATAGCTAATGTATTTGTGCCTTGTGGTGGTGGCATCACTTCTGAAGCCAGGAACAACATTTGTTAAAAGAAACCCAAAAAATAAAATAGAATACCACTAATAACTTTGGCCTGATAAGCCTTTAAAAAGTAGGCTGTTATTTGGTCCGCAAGTCCTTGCAGGCCCTTCAATTGTTCCTTTTATCTAGTGGTCATGGGGCTGCTCTCTGTGATCTGGATCCCCTTGGGACGAAGGATGGGGGAGTTCAGCAGTGACAGTGCCAAAAGCTTTGCGTTGGAGGAGGGTGGTCTTTGTGAGATCTTGGTAGAACGTGAGAGTGGAGCTTTCAAACAGTAGTGGTGTCTTGCCCCTTAGAGCCGACATGATCTGAATTTTGTCTTGAATGGTAAGACATCTGAGAATTACATCACGAGCCAGTGTGGGTTGGAGCGGTGTAGTGCTGGTGAGACTCAGTTGATGGTGATTTTTTTCACCACGTGTGGGACAGGATTATGGCTAGAAGTCGGCGGATATAATGTGGCAGTTCCTCCGCCGTGATTGTAGCTGGGATACCCCGTATCTTGATATGGGTACGTCGTTGGTGGTCTTCCACCGCTGCCAGTTTGTGTGTGAAGGTTTGCTAAGTAGTCTGGATCTGTAGCATTGATTTATCCAGTTTAGACAGGTGGGTCTGCACTTCCACCATTACATCCTCTGTGGCTCTCATCCGCTCTGTGACCGCTTGCACCTCCGTCTTTATAAGGGCGGAATCGGCAGCCAGCAGTTTATGTATATCTGCCAGCTGGATTTTCAAGTCCCGTTTGGTAGACGGGATCAAGTCATCTGAGGAGTCCTGCAAAAGAGGCTGTGGAGTGTCCTCTCCCTGTTGTTCCCGGATCAGGTGAGGGTCAGGTGCTTCCACTTGTAGTGCTTCAGTGGGCGCGGGTTTGTGTGGAGTAGGCCTCTGGAGCATCTCTCCAATATCTCTGTTCTCTGTTGAGGAGTAGGTTTTTTGTGAGCAATCGGCCCATTGTCGGAATGCAGTAGGCCTGAGAACTGTGTCTCCTTTGGGGTAGTTTCTGGGAGATAAAGAAAGGCATCAATCGATACCGGCCGACTCGCTGGAGCGGGTAAGGTAGGTTTCGGACTGGATTAGGCTCAGGCTATCAATAATATAAAAAATAAATTTTTACGGATAGACCCCATGCCGCCAGACCAACCCCCAGAAAGGGCACAGACACCCAAAGGGATACCAGATGGGTCTGCCCCAGTTACCCAGCGGGACTTTCAGAACCTAGTCGGGGAACTCAAAACCCTCCTGGCATCCAGTATAGCATCCATAAAAACAGATGTACAGGCTATTGCCGACAGGGTGCAGTCCACAGAGGATGATATGTCCGGCATTAAGCAGGGATTGACAACCCTACATGACTTGGTCCTGGCCCTACAAGCCCAACAGCAAGCACTCTCTCTCCACTATACCGCCCTTAATGACAGAACAAGGCGCAACCACCTTAAGATCAGGAGAGTACCAGACACCATCACATCTGACGAACTGCCTCACTATATGAGGCGCCTCGTAGCCACTGTCCTGCCGCCAATGCATGCCAAAAAATTTACCCCAGACGGGATATACCGCCTACCATCCTCAGGCAGAGCAGCCCCAAACACTGTTCGAGATGTGATTGTACGCTGCACCACCTCCCAAGACAAAAACAGCCTGATAACAGCTCTCCGGGACAAGACACCATTAACATTTGAAGGCGCACAACTCATAGTCTATCAAGACCACCTGGTCACCAGCACCATCAGAGAAGCGGGACTGGAATATCACTGGAGATCCCCCAGGTTCCTGGTGGTCACACACAGGGGAACTGTCCATAAACTCTCCACACTAGCAGAGTTTCCGACATTCTGCAAGGCACTGGGCCTTCCTGCACCCGCGCAGGATGCCAACTGAAGAAACGCAGCGGATACCTGACTCCCCCGGACACAATCATAACCAGGACACACACAGTTTACACCCAGCTGAGTGTCAGGATTACAGAATGATCCAGCACGTAGCACAGAGGACTGATAAGTAACGTATACCGGACCTTAGAATGGCCGGACTGACGTCCCAAAGAATAGTCAGGAATAGCTGAGGTCACGGGAAACAGAAAGAGACACAACGATAAGGAAAAGCCAGGAGTCAGGGATGCCAGAAAACAGGGAAGTCAATAACAATGCCAAAGTCAAATAACCAGAATTACCAGAATCAATAACGCGCTCTCGGACAACCACAAGGGAAACCACGACAGGGCACTGAGCAGGATGAGAACTGGGCCTAAATACCCCTCCTCTAGATCTGATAGGCTGTAACCGGCCTTTGACCCCAAAGGCAGTTACCAGGTTCCCATTTGTATAATTGCTGCTCAGCATTAACCCTTCTGTGGATTTGGTTGCTGCTCGGCACATCTTTTCCTATGTGGACAGTAAATGTCATTAACCACATTTTATAAGCGGATGAATATGTGACACTGAGATGCGTCTATCTTGTTAGCCCCAAGACATTCCCAGTTTACCGGTTCCCCTTTAGAAGGAGGAATCTGCCGCTACGTTCCCAACCCTTCCCCCCACCCCATCGGGCCCTCCCGGGCTTAGGGTAAGTTTAGAAGGAGGCCCTGAATCCACAACCTGTTCAGGTTGCATTAAGCCCACCCATATCACGCAGCCATCCTCCCGGAGCAGTTCACACACTCCTGATAATGTACCAGCGCTGGTCCATAATCTTAACGGGTCATTCCTGTTCTAACACTAATGCTAACCTTATATTGCAAAACAAGTATATGTTTGTGTTACATGACCCGCAAGGGTATATTTAAAAATTGAAAAATTCAATAAAAAGAGATTGACGAAAAACATAAAAAATTAATTTTTGAACCGTAGTGTATCAAAACATTTTGGCGAAAAACATGGAGGAAGCCCGGAAGGTTTAGAATTTTTAAGGATAGAAAAATTTAAAGTCCACTGGAGGGGGGTTGTAAAGATAAAATGTTAAGAAAATTCGAGATGAGATGGATGTTTAATCGTGACACTCTAACTCCTAAAGGTTTGAATGTGGACTTTGAAATAACTTCTTTTGTAACCATTTGTTTTATTAAACACTCCTCTAATTGATATATTTATTTTTATATATGGGCTTTATGAATATTGGTGTGTTTTATTAAGATTATTATTTATCTTTATATATTTACCCACTTTTCTCCCCTTTCTTTCCTCTTGTTTATCATGTTTGTGAGGAAATTTTTATCTTATGGAATGTTTATCATGTTTTTGAGGACATCTTTATTTTATGGAATGTTTATTTACATTTTAATTAATTATATATATTGCTTTTATGGATGCATTATGCCAACTCTTCTTCCAATTATTAGAATGTATAGATCTATGTTGGACTTTGTTTACAAGTTAACGTACATGCGCATTGATAAGAATTACTCCAACAAGTTTCATGCCGGATTGTCGGATCTAATTTCATCATGTGATCAGATAAGCTGGAAATACGTCACCAACTAGAGATGTGCACTACACGCTGACCTGGAAATGATGCACCCGGAAGTGACGTATCCGATACAGCGAAGATAACAGGCAGAGAAATAAAACGCGCCCTTTTGGTATATTTAAGAAAGACATTACCAAGCACTTCGAGAAAGACTGTTGTCGAAACGCGTCAGTCCGGTTGTTTATGAGAGATCTTTTATTTTACAATATATTTTTAACATACTTATTAAAGTTTGTTCTGGCTACCTTTACCACCCCCCCTCCCCCCCCTTTTTTTGGTGTTTACTGATAACCTAAGAGGGAGTTTTAGTATCCAGCTGAATATTCCAGTATCTGATTCCAGTACTTGATCTCAGCAACCAACTACATATATCCCAAGGCGCTTAAAGTCTGAGCCCACTACAAACGGCTCAGTGCCACGTGAGTGAGATTAATTTGCTTTCACTTGTTTTAAAGTATTTTATACTGATTTCACTATGATCTGTTGTCTCTTGTTTTGTTTAGGTTATATCCTGTTTTATGGTAACTTGCATGTTTGTGATATTTTATAAGTTTTTGTGTGCTCGCACCCAATTGTTTATTCACTTTGAGAGAGAAAGAGAGGCTGTTGAGCACCAAACTGAGAGAGAGAGAGAGAGAGACTGCTGAGCTCCAAGCCGAGAGGGAGGGCAAAGCTGAGAGAGAGGCTGTGGAGCACCAAGCTACCAGAGAGCATGAGCTAAAAATGGTCGAGATGGAAAGATTTTATTAATTAAGAGTATTAATTCCAGAGACTCTTCTGCACCCAAACCACATGCAGAGAATTTTCGAACTATGGATAAAGATGGGGATCTGGATGTTTTCATGCGCAGTAAAAAAGGTTTGCAGGTAGTACTAGCTACAAAAGGACCAGTGGGCAAGGTACCTCACCCCTGGTCTCAGAGGTCCTGCACTGGAAGCATTTGCAACGCTTCCAGCAAAGTCTGACCAGGAGTATGATACGATTAAGGCTGCCTTGCAGAAACGGTACAACCTTACTCCTGAGGTGTACCAAAAGAAATTCAGGACTTTGCAGAAGAAAGTTCTGCAAAGTAGTTGTGGAACACCTGGCGACAGCATTCCGGCAATGGACTAGAGGGTTGGAGATTAAAACTCTAGAAATCTGGAAGAGTTGATTATTAAAGAACAGTTTTTTGCAGCTCTGCCCAGCCGATGTACAAGAATGGCTGCTGGACCGGATCCCCAAAACAGCATTGGAGGCGGGTGAGCTGGCGCCAAATTTTGAGCAAGGAGATAGTCACAGATGTTTTATTTATAAGTGGGGCACATTAGTCTTACTTGCTCTGGGAAATGGTAGCTACCATCATCACCTGGGGAGGGACGCTCCTCAGAACCACTGGCCTCACTGTCAACAATTTGAATCTGCAACCTGTGACAGTCGGAAAGGAGTTAACTGTGGGACTCAGGGGCACTGGGGCAGATGTTACTCTTGTGCGTCCAGAGCTAGTGTGTTCTGAGGACTTAGTTCCTGTCAGGACTCTAGCAGTTAAAGGAATTGGGGCAGGAATTGGCACAGGTTTATTTGGATTGGGGAGTGGGGACGGGTTTCAGAGATGTGGGGGTAGATGAGAACATCCCTGCAAATGTATTACTTGGTACTGACTTAAGTAGATTGTTATCCAAGTATGTGCCTAAAAGTAATATGTGTTATCAACCTAAGCCTCGTAGGGGCCCTACTGTGTGGAGGGCAGTATGTAAAAGTGTATGTAGAATACCTTGCTGGGAGGAAGGGCAGAAAGAGCATGTGTGCCAGAACCAGGGGTGTCTGTGTTACCAGGTGAAATTTTTCTAGGGCAGAATGAGCATGCATGCCAGACTGTGCCAGAACCAGAGGTGTCTGTGGTGCCTGGTGAAAGATTGCAAGGACAACTTCTATCACGGTCATGTGGTAACCAACAGGGGCGGTCTGGGAAGGGGGGCAGAGAGGCAATTGCCCTCCAGGCTGCATTAAACCGAGGGCCGTTTGCATCCAGCAAACAAAGGAAAAATCTGAATCCCCTGCCTCTGGCTGAGGACTCAGATTTTTCAACGTAACTCACTCTCCCTGCAGCCTGCAGCCAGTGGAGTCGGCCGGCCTCTCCTGTTGATGTCAGAAGGAGGGGGCGTGACTTTCACTGTTCTTCTCTCAGGACCACTGGGGAATCTGGGAGAAGAGCAGAGGAAGTAACGCCCCCTCCTCCTGCTATCATCAGGAGAGGCCTACTTCACTGACTGCTGCTCCTTGCTCCTGCTGGCTGCTGCCCACCCCTTCCTGACCTAAGGTAAGACTCAGGGAGGGGGGAAATACACTTTAGATTTTTTATTCCCCTCCTCAGTCCCTGTCCCCTTAGTCAGCCCCTGTCCCCCCTCCTAAGCCCTGTCCCCTCCTCATCCCCTGTCCCCCCTCCACAGCCCTGTACCCCCTCCTCAGCCCCTGTCCCCTAGCTCGGCCCCTGTGCCCCCTTCCTCAGCCCCTGTCCCCTTACTCGGCCCCTGTGTCCCATCCTCAGCTCCTGTCCCCTTAGTCGGCCCCCGCCCTCCCTCAGCTCCTGTCCCCTTAGTCAGCCCCTTTCACCCTTCCTCAGCCCCTGTCCCCCCTCCTCAGCCCTGTCCCCTTAGTCAAAACCCTGTCCCCCCTCCTCAGCCCTGTCCCCTTAGTCAGCCCCTGCCCCCTTCCTCAGCCCTGTCCCCTTAGTCAGCCCCTGTCCCCCCCTCCTCAGCCCATGTCCCCTCCTCAGCCCCTGTGCTCTCCTCAGCCCTTATCCCCCTGCTCAGCCTCTGTCTCCTTGCTCAGCCTCTGTCTCCTTGCTTAGCCCCTGTCCCTTTCTTCAGCCCCTGTCCCCTTCCTCAGCCCTTATATCCTTGCTCAGCCTCTGTCTCCTTGCTCAGCCCCTGTCCCTTTCTTCAGCCCCTGTTCCCTTCCTCAGCCCCTGTCCTCTTTTGCCCAACCACTGTCCCTTTCCTCAGCCCCTATCCCCTTCCTCAGCCCCTGCCCCCTCTCAGCACCTGTCCCACCCTTTCCCTGCTCCTTTCCCCCCTATCAGCTCCTGCCCCCTTCCTCAGCCCCATAACATCCCCACTACAGCTCCTCTCCCCCAGTTGCAACCCATATCACCCAGACCACAGCCCCTTTCCCAAATTGTAGCCATCAACCTACTTCAGCCCCTATCCCCCCTACATTTCCTAGACCCCCAATTATAGCTTATACTCTCAACTACAGCCCCTGTCCCCCCACTACAGCCCTGTCCCCTTACTCAGCCCCTGTCTACTGGTTTTAAAAGTGTAAAGTTTGGGTGTCTATGTGTGTGTCAGTATGTGTGTGTGTGTGTCAGCATGTCTGTGTGTGTGTGTGTGCCAGTATGTCTGTCTGTGTGTGCGCCAGTATGCCTGTGTGTGTGCCAGTTTGTCTGTGTGTTTGCCAGTTTGTCTGTGTGTGTGTGTCAGCCAGTATGTGTATGTGTGTTAGTATGTCTGTCCCCTACCTCAGCCCCTGTCCCCCCTCCTAAGCCCTGTCCCCTCCTCATCCCCTGTCCCCCCTCCACAGCCCTGTACCCCCTCCTCAGCCCCTGTCCCCTAGCTCGGCCCCTGTGCCCCCTTCCTCAGCCCCTGTCCCCTAGCTCGGCCCCTGTGCCCCCTTCCTCAGCCCCTGTCCCCTTGCTCGGCCCCTGTGTCCCATCCTCAGCTCCTGTCCCCTTAGTCGGCCCCCGCCCTCCCTCAGCTCCTGTCCCCTTAGTCAGCCCCTTTCCCCCTTGCTCAGCCCCTGTCCCTTTCCCTTTCATCAGTCCTGTCCCCTTCCTCAGCCCCTGTCCTCTTTTGCCCAGCCCCAGGCCCTTTCCTCAGCCCTGTCCCCTTAGTCAGCCCCTGTCCCCCCCTCCTCAGCCCATGTCCCCTCCTCAGCCCCTGTGCTCTCCTCAGCCCTTATCCCCCTGCTCAGCCTCTGTCTCCTTGCTCAGCCTCTGTCTCCTTGCTTAGCCCCTGTCCCTTTCTTCAGCCCCTGTCCCCTTCCTCAGCCCTTATATCCTTGCTCAGCCTCTGTCTCCTTGCTCAGCCCCTGTCCCTTTCTTCAGCCCCTGTTCCCTTCCTCAGCCCCTGTCCTCTTTTGCCCAACCACTGTCCCTTTCCTCAGCCCCTATCCCCTTCCTCAGCCCCTGCCCCCTCTCAGCACCTGTCCCACCCTTTCCCTGCTCCTTTCCCCCCTATCAGCTCCTGCCCCCTTCCTCAGCCCCATAACATCCCCACTACAGCTCCTCTCCCCCAGTTGCAACCCATATCACCCAGACCACAGCCCCTTTCCCAAATTGTAGCCATCAACCTACTTCCAGCCTATCCCTACATTTCCCTGAATGGCCCCAATTGCCTTGGCTTATACTCTCAACTACAGCCCCTGTCCACCCCCCCACTACAGCCCTGTCCCCTTACTCAGCCCCTGTCTACTGGCATGGGCGTCCGCAGGGGGGGGAAGGGGGGGCACTTGCCCCCCCCCCTGGATTTTTCAGCTTGTTCTGCTATTTTGTGTGAGATTTAAAATGAACTGCAATACCGGCGCCGGCCAGTAGGTGGCGCTGTGTATGGAGAGAGACAGGGATAGGAAGCTGCATCTATCCCTGCTTCTCTCTGCTGATTGAAACCGCAGGGGAACAACACATGCAGCCAGAGACAGCCTACAGATCAGGTAAGCGGGGGGTCGGGGGGTTTGAGGGAACAGCAGCTTCTGAATTTGGGGCGGCGGCCGCTGGAATTTAGGGGGCGGCAACCAGATTTGGGGGGAGGCGTAATACCCCAGATTTGGGGGGTGCGGCAGCTAACAGATTTGGGGCGGCGGCTATAGATTTGGGGGCGGCCATAGATTTGGGGGCGGCAATATAGATTTGGGGGAGGGGCGGCAGCCCTAATGATTTGGGGGCGGCAACCACCAGATTTGGGGCAGCCCATAGATTTTGGGGAGGGGGCAGCGGCTCTCCCTATAGATTTGGGGGCGGCAGCCCATAGATTTGGGGGCAGCTTGTGCTAGATTTGGGGCAGCAGCCCTATCAGATTTAGGGAGGCGGCAATATATAGATTTAGGCGCGTATGGGCTGGGGGTGGGGCAGCAGCCTTTAGATTTGGGGGCAGCAGCCCATAGATTTGGGGGAGGGGGCAGCAGCCTATAGATTTGGGGAGGCAGCAGCCTATAGATATATAGAAATGAACAGGAAGAGTCAGCAATGAGCTGGAAGGTAAAGCAGGACAAAGGTAAAGTAGAAGGAGCAGAAAGGGTCAGAAATTAGCTGGAAGGGGCAGAAGGAGCACAAACATAAAGTAGGAGAATGAGCAGGAAGGGCCTGCAAGGAGCAGGAAGGAGCACAAAGGGACAGCAAGGAGCACAAAGGTAAAGTAGGAGAAAGAGCAGAAAGGGACAGCAAGGAGCACAAAGGTAAAGTAGAAAAGGGAGCAGAAAGGGATCAGAATGAGAAAGGAGCAGAAGGGTGCAAAATAAGCAGAAAGTAGCAGAAAGGTAAAAGAGCAGTAGGGGCCAAGGATAGAAAACAATGTCAGAAGAAAAAAAAAAGACTGTCAAATGAAGGAGAGGAAAAGGAGATTGGAGCAGGAAGGACAAATGAAGTGAACCCTCTACTTTATTCTGGACACCACATCATAAGACTTTGGTACCTGGGCCTGGCAGGGAAACGCTGGACCTTCTCATCTCCAAAGGTAAAAAAATATCCGTGTTAATGTGTTCACTTTTATTTACTGAGTGTCAGGAAGCACAGAGTGCCGTTGGGTAGGGGTGTTGCTGATTGGCTAGATCGGTCAGCTGGCACTCTAAGCCAATCAGTACCTCCCCATTCATAAAAAAGTAAAAATATTTTATGAACCGGGAACTAGCGATTGGCTTAGAGCGTCAACTGACCACTCTAGCCAATCAGCGGCACCCATGCCTGATGTCAGTCTGCACTTCCTGACACTCTGTTTCAGAAGCCAAATACCACTGAGCGACCTGGAGCTGGAGGAAGCCTTTGGGGTTAAACCATTTGAGAGCGATTTAACCCCTTAAAGGAAAGCGAGCACCCAGGGGCTTCCTGGCATCATAGCATTTTCATTTAGGTGAAGTTGTTATGGTGACCAGAAATGTCCTTTAATTTGCTTAAAGGAACACTATAGTGTCAGGAATACAAACATATATTCCTGACACCATAGTTGTGAAAACGCTATTCACCCTGGCTTTATGTGATAATGGCTATGCCCCTTCCCTTTCATGACACTGTCAAAAAGGTACCAAGCATGGATGTCATTACAATTATGCCCCCCCCTGGAAAAATTCCTACGGACGCCCATGTCTACTGGTTTTAAAAGTGTAAAGTTTGGGTGTCTATGTGTGTGTCAGTATGTCTGTGTGTGTGTCAGCATGTCTGTGTGTGTGTGTGTGCCAGTATGTCTGTCTGTGTGTGCGCCAGTATGCCTGTGTGTGTGCCAGTTTGTCTGTGTGTTTGCCAGTTTGTCTGTGTGTGTGTGTCAGCCAGTATGTGTATGTGTGTTAGTATGTCTGTCTGTCTGAGTCACTATGCTTGTAACAGTGTGTCTTTCTGTATGTCTCTGTGTGTGTGCCAGTTTGTCTGTGTGTGTGTGTCAGCCAGTATGCCTGTGTGTGTGTGTGTGTCAACCAGTATGCCTGTCTGTCTGAGTCAGTATGTCTGTAACAGTGTGTCTTTTTGTGTGTGTCTGTGTGCCTGTCAGTGTGTGTGTGCATGTGCCTGTCAGTGAGTGTCTGTTTAGGCGACTCCCCCTCCCCCTTTCAATCACATGGGAAAGGTGTTTTTACTCTCTTCTTGGTGCAATGGGACACTTGACTGGATTTGCACCCAGGCCTAAGGCTGCCAGCCCTCCCCTGATAACCAACACGCAGAATGTAAACCCACAGAGAACCCAAGGACACATTATCGAACCTTAGAATGGATAGCCAAAAATCTGAATAACAGAGATCAGGAGAACGATACAAGAATAACCAGTTCAGGATACCAGAAATCAGGAGGTCAAAATACAAGCCGAGTCAGGGAACCAGAAAACAGGAATTTCAAAAGCCAAGCCGGGTACACAAAAAACAACAGTAAATATACAAGAAGAATCAAAGAGCACTAAGGGGAACACATGGAACCACAATAGGGCAAGGAACAAGGCCACGCCCGAAAATGTTCTGAGATGGTATTGATGACGAGGGACCGCGTCAATGACGTCATAACATAGGCACGCATGCGCCATGTCATAAATAGGGGAGTAAATCCAGTGGCCAGTGTGGGACATGCTGAACTTGATGGAAGAGCAGTCTGTCCTGGATCCTGCACGACGTGGGCGCAATGGAAAAAGGTAAGAGATTGTGACAGTACCCCCTCCCCCAAAACCGCCCACCGGGCGGGAAGGACCAGGCAGATCCGTGAATCGAGCAGGGAAAGAACGGACCAATCGAGGAGCATGGACAATGAGCCTACAATGAGAAAGCCTGGAATTTAAGGGGAAGGCCTTGGGATAGGCTTAGTGTAATGGTTACACAACAAAGGCTTGAGCAATAAAACATGAAAGGCATTAGGTATTCTTAATGTAGACGGTAAAAGCAATTTATAAGAAATGGGACTGAGCCTCCTCAGGATCTTAAATGGACCAATGTAATGAGGTGCAAATTTCATAGATGGCACCTGTAACCTAATATTCTTGGTGCTTAACCACACCCTGTCACCCTCTACGTACACAGGGGCTGCAGATCACCGCCTGTCAGCATAGGTTTTGTGCATTACAGCTCCATGTCTTACGAATTTCTTTTACCCTTTCCTCAACAACAGGTACTTCAGTGATAGGAGAGGTTTTGGATAGTATAACGTGGTTAACCCCATCATTTATTTAGAATGGACTATGTTGGGTGGATTGATGTATATGGTTATTATGTGCGAATTCTGCCCAAGGCAGGAATTTAATTATCTTGATGTTCACATGTGATGTTGATGTTTAATTATCTTGATGAAGCAGTGTAAGAATTGTTCGAGGTCTTGGTTCATTCTTTCTGCAGCACCGTTTGTTTGTGGGTGATATGAGGAAGAAAGGCATAGTTCGATGCCCAATTGTTTGTAAAAAGGCCTCCAGAAACGGGATATGAATTGTAGCCCTCTATCTGAGTCGAATTCCGTGGGTAAACCATGCAACCGAAATATTTCTCTGATGAATATAGTGGCCAATTCGGAGGAGGTAGGAAGTTTAGGTAGAGGAATTAAATGAGACATTTTAGGAAAACTAGCAATGGCTGCCAGTATCACCGTCATCTTTTCGGATACAGGTAGGTCTACTACAAAATCCATTGCCAGACTTGACAAAGGTTGTAATAAACCACAGGGTTGTTTGTGTAACGACTTGTTAGCTGCACAAACAATACAAGCTTTTACATAATCGCAAACATCTTTTCTATAAGAATGCCACCAGAATGGTTTGGATTGAAGAGCTTCAGTTTTGTGGATACCCAAATTACCCGCTATCATAGACCCATGCATGAGAGAGAGAAAGGATTCTCTATGTTCTGTAGGGATGTACAACTTATTAGGAGGTGTATCCTCTGGAGCTTGATCCTTTTGGTTTTCTAATAACTCTATCAGTGCTGATTTAATCTGTACTTTAGTAGTGGCCACTAAGCATTCATTAGGGACAATCAACTGTAATTGGGGTTCGGGACTAGCCTGATCTTTGTGATTGTCGTGATAAAGCATCAGCCTTCGTATTTTTGGTTACAGGTCTGTACGTCACAATGTAATTAAAATGAGACAAGAACAGAGACCAAAGTGCTTGCCTATCTGATAGCCTCTTCGCTTCTCCAAAACAGGACAAGTTTTTATGGTCTGTGAGGATTGTTACAAGAATGGAGGATCCCTCTAACACATGTCTCAATTCCTTCAGGGCCATGATTATAGCCAACAACTCCCTGTCCCCAATGTCATATCATTTTTCAGTGTCAGTTAATTTCTTAAAAAAATAACCACAAGGATGAAGGGGTAAATCAGCTGCTGAGCTTTGGGAGAGAACTGCCCCTACACTGAACTCGGAAGCATCTACTTCCAACAAAAAAGGCAAAGAAGGGTCAGGATGTGCCAAAATAGGAGCCGAAGTAAAAGCCCTTTTTAATGTTTCAAATTCAGCAAGAGCTTCAGGAGCCCATTCTTGTTGAGTTGCTCCTTTTTTAGTCATGGAGTTAATGGGGGCTGTTATGGATGAGAACCCCTTAACTAACCTCCTATAATAATTGACAAAACCCAAGAAGCGTTGAATGGCTTTCAATCATATCGGCAACGGCCAGTCTAATTTTTTTGGATCCATTCTAAAACCTGTACCAGATATTATATATCCCAAGAACTGTACTTCTTTTATGTCAAAAAGGCACTTCTCCAGCTTACAATATAATCCATTTTCGAGAAATCGCAAAAGAACACGTCTCACATGGTTATCATTACTTTCAAGGTATTTAGAAAAGATGATTATATCATCCAGATACACTATAACAAATTCATGTAAATAATCCCTTAAACATAATTTATGAAGTCCTGAAAAACAGCTGGGGCATTACATAAACTAAATGGCATAACGGTGTACTCATAATGCCCGTATTGTGTATTAAACACTGTTTTCCACTGATCTCCCTCCTTGATTCGGACCAGATTGTAAGCCCCTCGCAGGTCAAGTTTAGTAAATATGGATGCCCCTTTAAACCTATCGAATAATTCTGATATCAATGGAATTGGGTATGCATTACGTATTGTTATCTTGTTAAGTCCATGGAAATCAATACAGGGCCTAAGATCCCCATCTTTTTTATAAACAAAAAAGAAGCCTGCACCAGCAGGAGAAGAGGATTTGGTTTAAAACCACTTCCAAAGATTCTCCCTAATGTATTCCTCTAGTACTATGTTTTCCTTAAGAGACAAGGGATAAACAGTACCCTTGGGTGGCATAGTACCAGGGAGTAAAGTAATCGAACAATCATAAGGGCGATGTGGTGGTTGCTTATCGGCTTCTTTCTTTTCGAACACGTCTTTCAGTTTTTTATATGGTTCAGGCACCTCAGTGGATAAAGCCTCCATAGTGGGAAGGTTTATGAGGCACACTGGTTTGACTTTAGAAACACAACCCTCCATACATGAATGACTCCAACTATTGATCTCCTTAGACTCCCAATCTATTAGAGGCTTATGTTCAGCGAGCCAAGGAAATCCTAACACTATTGGAAAGGATGGGGATATATTCTGTTGTATGATTATCATTTCTCAGTGTAGGAATCCTACGATCATGGTCACATGATTGCTAAGTTGTCTACCATGGCCAAGGGTGTGGATCTTTCTCTTACAGGGAGAAAATAAGACTTAGCATAGGTGGCATCAACAAAGTTTTCTGCAGCCCCAGAATCGATAAGGGCATGCATATGGACAGTCCTCTTCTCCCACTTTAAGGTTATAGGGAGTAAAAGCCTGAACAGTACAGACAAAGACCCTCTTTTCTCCTATAGGACTTCTCAGCTTCAGATAACCTAGTGAGTCCTAACAGCATGGGTTCAGGGATGGCCACAGTGGTTGTTTCTGAAGTTGGGAGCGTTAAGGTCAAGCGTACTGGGTTTCTTCTTGGTCGATCTCTAGTGTTATGTTTATGCCTGAGGCTCTTGTCTATATGGGACAGATAGGTTATGAGTTCTTCTAAATACTCTGGCAAGTCCCTAGCTGCAACCTCATCCAACAAGGTATCCGAGAGACCATTCATAAATATGTCTACAAATGCCTAGTTGTTCCATCGCACTTCTGCAGCATAAGTGCGAAATTCTAAAGCGTACTCCACAAGAGAACGGGATCCTTGTTTCATCTTAAGAAGAGTTTTGGCTGCATTCACTCACCTTCCTGGGGGATCAAAGGTTCGTTTGAATGCAGCCACAAACTCAGCATTGTTGTATACCAAGGGGTTGTTAATTTACCATAAACGATTTGCCCATATCAATGCCCTATCTGCAAGTAGGTTGATCATAAAACCCACTCTAGTCCTTTTGGTGGGGTAGGCCCTGGGTTTTAATTTGAAGTGTATGCTGACTTGGTTTAAAAACCCTCGGCATGCACTAGGATCACCTCTGTAACGTAAAGGGGACGTCATATGAGTGGACGTATTAACTGTGGCAACCTCGAGGTTAGGTGAAGCAACTACAGGTATAGGATTTTGCACCTCGGTTTGCAGATGTGCTGGACGAGCCAGTAAAGTTTGCAGAGCAAGGGCAAACTGGTCCATTTCCTCAAACCGTACATCATGGCCAGAAGCTTGTGGGTCGACACCTGCAGGGTCCATGGCCCTTTTCTAATATCACGGTCGTGTGAGAACCCAACACGCAGTATGTAAACCCACAAAAAACCCAAGCACGTATTACCGAACCTTAGAATGGTCGGATTTAACGTAGGTGAAAAAGAGTAGTCAGAGGATAGCCAAAAATCAGAATACCAGAGATCAGGAGAATGATACAAGAATAGCCGGGTCAGAATACTAGAAATCAGGAGGTCAAAATACAAGCCGGATCAGGGAACCAGAAAACAGGAACGTCAAAATCCAAGCCGGATCAGTATACAAAAACAACAGTAAATATGCAAGAAGAATCAAAGAGCACTAAGGGGAAAACAAAGAACCACAATAGGGCAAGAAACAAGGCAAAAGGCACCCCTTTTATAAGGTAGCGTCTTTTGCTTTAAGGCCACGGGGCCGTGTCAATGACGTCATGACGTCGGTGCGCATGTGTCATGTCATAAAAAGGGGGTGAATCCAGCGGCCGGTGTGGGATATGCTGAACTCGTTGGAAGAGTTCCTGGATCCTGCACCACGTGGGCATGATGGAATAAGGTAAGAGATCTTGACAACTTCGCTGGGAGGGCAGATTGTGTGTTAGTCTGTGCCAGAGCCAGAGATGTCTGCAATACCATGTGGGAATGGGCAAAAACAACTTCACAGGAAGCTAGGGGAGGATGAGCGTGTGTGCCTATCTGTGCCAGAGCCAGAGATGTTTGAGATGCCATGTGAAAACACAAGTGGTTTAACTCATTGGGATCCGGGCAGGATAAGTTGGTATGTTCACCTGTGCCTCAACCAGGAATAGGTCGGCTGCGAGAACCAGGAGAGTTTGAGGATCTATGTGAGAGGATGGCCTGGCTGGGTGAGGAAATTATGTGAGTGTGGGCAACATTCTGTGCCTGACCAAGGGGTGTCAAAGGTGTCCTGTGAAAGTATACAGGAAAAACCTTCTAGCAAGAGGGGGTTGAATGAATATATGTGCAAAAATGTGCCTGAAGCAAATTAATGTATTTAATGTGCTGTGTAAAAAATGTGGAGGGAAAGCATGGCTATGAGGGAGAGCAGAATGTTTGTGCACCGTACTCCGTGCCAGACTCAGCCAGTTCCCAAGGTTCTGTTTGTGTGAGGACATGGAGTGTAAGCGAGGGAGAGACAGTGGTTTCATCGGTAGAAAAGTCGACCCATCCACAGTCTGCCCAAAGTGAAGGGCAGGGACAGACTCAGCCTGTGGGTCCAGGGAGGATGGCCGCATGGGAGCCTACTGTTAGGGGAACCAGGGACCTTGTCACCTTATCACCACCACACGTCACACATACACCCAATCCAGCTCAGGAGCAGGAGTCTGTCTCTAAGCAGCTGTCTGATTCTGAACGAAAGGTTCAGAGTCAGATAGTGCAACATGCCCAGCAGACAGACCACAAAATAAAAGAGATGAAGGGTGTTGATACAAGCAAATGTCCTGGGAGTGTTTTCTGTCTCATCTTTTGTGTGTTTACAGGGGAGTACTGCAGAAATCTGTTGATTTCTTCCCCTTAGAGCTTCTACATAGGTGCAGTGGGTGTGGCCCAAGGGATGTGACCAGAGAGCAGTGGGAAATGGAAACAAGCAAATCAGGCATGTTTGTTGTGGATATGGCTGTTATATGGCTTAGGGACTAAATGCAAGCCTTTTTGGGGGAGGTGTGCGAACACATGAGGGCTACCCCATTCATACATAAACAGTGTTATGAAAAAGATGAGTGTATGGTGTGAAGGCAAAAAAAAGAACAAGTGTTGATACACAAGGAGGTGTCATGCCAAGGGTTTGTAATTCATTGTTGCACTATAGAATATTGCCATTTAATGATATTTACGTAGTGCATATATGAATTGGTCACTTGGTAGAGGTCAGATGACAGAAGGGGTAGGAATGTGAAAGGGGTCAGATGACTTACAACATGGATTGATTCTTTGATTAATCAAAGGCTCTGCAAGGTGGACTGTGAAATTCAACACTTGAAAAGCCTGTATGTCTAGTTCGAATGTAAACTAACTGACTTCAACCATATGGCCTGTAACTCTTAATTGATGAGTTAATTTCTTAAAATATTAATGATCATTAGCTTTCAAGAAAAAAACCCTTGTGTTCCAGTATTAGATCTAAAAGAAACATTAATACTTACCCACAGTTTAATAATTAAGCCTCATTTTTATTATATTTAGAATAGGACAAGCACAATCTTCTAATCAATCCTAAACATGATTGGCGTAATTTAACCATATGGGAAAGGATTGTGATGTCCGCTATATTGGGTCACAAGTAAGAAGTGTGAGGTATCTATGGAATGGAAAAATGGTAACAAATTCATAGATGCAATTATTATTTCGTTGGCACGTACAAAAGAGGAGATAGAAGAAAAAGTTTCTAGTTGGATTCATGTTGGTCTGGAACACAAGGGGATGGTCACTTATTGTTTCTAGAGATTAGCCTTTTCTCAACCTCTGGGCCAGGCTTGGTAATCCACAAGGTATATATCCAATGCTATTGAAATGCGTATTGAACTTGCTTGGGGCCAAAATCTAGTTTTGAGTGAGTCACCATCTTCCTTGCCAGAGACTCCCTGGGCAGAAGTTTTACTTTTAAAACCTGAGTAAGTGATTATTTTATCCTTATAGTTTTTTATCTGTTGTTGGTGAAAATAATTTGTTTATCATCTATTTTTTGTATGTATTGTGACTATTTGATGCTCATAATAAATATTCCTTTATTAGGTTCTGCCTTTGTCTGGTAAAGAATCACGTTACCTGAAGAGACTAATTAGTGTTTTGCAATAACCTAAATATTGTGCTAAGTTGTATTTGGTGGGTTTTTATTATTCCCCTCAACTAGAGCATAGCCCCTATCTGCCTCAGGCCCTCTGTCCATTACCTATCTGCCCGAGTGGTCAGTCCTACACTGAACAAAAGTCCAACGTAAATATCAGGATCCCTTAGGTAAGGCTTCCTCAGACGGAAATCTTATGTCACTTTCCATGTGTGAATGTATTGTACTGGGAAATGTTAGTTTTGCCACTACAAAGTTCTTTCACTCAGTCGCACAATGCTGGCCATAGGAGCAAGGAGGGTTTAATCTTTCTTTTCTACTAAGAGCTGTAAATGAGGGGCACTTACTAACATTTTTGGTACAATTTTGTATGATTTTGGGATTGGGGCACTTACCTGACATAACGCCAATTGAGATGTACATTGTGTTCACATTGCTTGCAAATGTGGTTACCAGCATGCCAATACTACAAAGCAATCCTCCAGCCATGACTACAAGGCGATGTCCAAACTGACTGGTCAGGATACTAGCAATGGGAGCTAAAATTAAACAGATGACACTTTTGTTCCTGTAATTAAGAGTGTTCCATAACAAATCTAAATACATTTATGGGGTTATTCACTCAACTGGGAATTGCACATTTTAAGGAAAATTATAGCCTTTTTTCATCAATTTTACACCCTTCCTAGAATATAATTTTTCTAGAATATAAAACCTTTCATGAAGAGAACCTGAATTTAATGCTGAGTATTTCTTTGGTGATTCCCTTATCACTGAATTGTGGATTGGCTAAAATAACCTGAGAGTGGGGCTAAAATGTGAAATAAATGTCTGCAGGTAACATATTCTTGTAGATCAAAGCATTTTCTATCCCTTCATATAAAGTCAGGTTACCTGACCTCCAAAGAACTATTCCTTCAAACCACTTACCTGTGACTGTGAAGACAAATGCACAGATAGAAAAGATCCATGATACTTTGTCGTTACTTTCATGAAAGTAGTCTTTGAGTTCATCAAAGAAAACTCCAAAGATATTGACGATTCCGTATGTGAAGGCTTCCACAAAGAAAAAGGCCACGGCAATCACCCAGCCCCAGCCTCCATCAGGCACCTTCGTATAAACATTGGGGCGCATAAATTTCTTGATATCAATCATGTTCGCCCTGAGGACACAAAGCCATAATACATCATTTATCAAATTGGGAAAAATAGTTAAATTTACACAGTATTAGGAAATTATCTCTGAAGAAGCCATATTCTTCTGTTCTAATCTCCATGGGCAGAAATAAGATGGCTGTAAGGCTAAAATGGGCACTCCAAGCACTGCAGATTATTTTAGTGGTCTGGGTGCTATAAGTCCATGGGTGCTGTCCACCAGTTTGCTGACAAACCATTTTGGAGCAGTTAAACATAAAACAGGAATCCCCTTGCAGCCACATTGATAATGTAGAATTTATACTTCTACAGCATCAATGAGAACTTGTTTTCAGTTCTCTCAGCCTGACACTGCCATTCAAGGTCAGATGGATTGGAAATTTCTTATTCAGATTTCAAAAGTGTAATTTTCATATTATCAGAAGAGCATGTTTTTGTCACTATTACTCCAAAAAGGTGTGAGGGCAAATATGGAGATAATAAGAGATATAGAAAAAGGGACCGCGCTGACAACACCTGCTAGAAATAATATATTGGGAGGCAGCTAACCCCAAAAAGGGGGGATCCCTCTTCCCCGCTTATGGAGACAGTAAACAAAGAAAAAACAACAGAAGGGGTAGAGCCACAGATTAATAATCCATAAGGTACAGTGGAAAACAGCTTAAATAAGAAAAATATAGTAATAAATACAGAAATGTCCAGATTTTAAAGTCCAGAGGTTGAGAAAGTCCAAAATTAGTATACCAATATAGATGTAAATATACAGTTGCCAGAGGTGGTATACGAAGGGATGGGAAGGATTATTCTACAGGGATGTCATAGATGATCAGCGGTGGATCCATATATGGGAAAAGAAAGGAGATGATGGTGCAGTATATACTGTCAGGGGGAGTATAAAATATAAAATAGATATAGTCCTACTCACGTTTTAAGGAGCTAGAACTAGCTCCAGTGTAGATAGCGTGCAGTGGTACAATCCCCACTTTAAAAGATATGTGTATAAAGTTGTTCAAGAGCAGGCAGACTGCTCTATGGATAGGGCGTGGGTGTACCTAAATATGGAGATAATGCCTGCGAATGAATTACACCATAACCACTGGAAAATTAACTGTAGTGGTTATGGTGCTTTGTGTCCCTTTAAACAATTATTCTTAATACTTGATCTTACTTCTCATTAAAGTATGTTTTTAATAGTAGATAATTAGTTCCTATGTCAATGCCTAAAATTCTGTAGTAGTCAACCAGTAGTCCTTTTCTGTCCACATGTTATTGTGAAGACTTGTGGTTGATATGTATTTGGCAAATAGGTTTCTAAACAAGAATTAAATATCAAAGGAGGTTTAATACTAACCTGTAAATGTACAAATATTCTCACTTTTCTTGAATTAAAGTCAATATTGACCTATAAGTGACGGGTTACCACTGTCCTGAAGGTGTATTTATTTTATATCTGGTCATTGCAACCTGGTTGGGTCTTATGTTATTTTTTTACTATTTTCTTTTTTTTTTCTTTTGTCTCTTTCTGGTCTGAATATATTATTTATTTCATATTTCCTCTATAGCGTAAAGCTCAGACACTCTTGGGTCGGTTAATACCAATCTCTCATTCCATGCTTTACCTTTGGTAGAGTTGCTGCCTTGAATCTTGCTGAGGATCTTCATATATCATGACAACCTTTTCTGGCAGGTCCTATGTGGTTGATATCTGTATTTTGCATATAGAGTTCTAAACAAGAATTAAATATCAAAGGAGGTTTAATACTAACCTGTAAATGTACAAATATTCTCACTTTTCTTGAATTTCTTGAATTAAAGTCAATATTAACCTATAAGTGATGGGTGACCACTGCACTGAAGGGGTATGACCTATACACTGTGCAAACAATGTGCAAAGCAAGGAGGAAATAAGGCTGTCTGCCCGTGACATCACAATGTTTATGAGGTATGCAGGTAAGGCTGTCATAGATAGATTTGATATGTTAACTTTTTTTTTTTTTTTTATAAAAATGTGCTTGATCTCACTTTTTTAAAATCTCTATTTTATATCTGGTCATTGCACCCTGGGTGTGTCTTATGGTTATTTTTTACTATTTTTTTTTTTTTGTCTCTTTCTGGTTTGAATATATATTTTTATAGTGTAGTCCTGTTATTTCATATTTCCTCCATAGCGTTAAGCTCAGACACTCTTGGGTCGGTTAATACCTGTCTCTCATTCCATGCTTTACCTTTGGTAGAGTTGCTACCTTGCATCTTGCTGAAGATCTTCATAAATCATGACAACCTTCTAGCAGGTTCTTAAGTCTTTCTCCAGTTCTACTTGCTGTGATGAGTTTCTGTTTTTTTTTTTTTTCAAGGTTTATGGCTTTATTTATGCCGCATTTATTTCCAAAATGGTAAAATATCTCCATAGTGCATAACTGCCACTTCTAGGAAAGTCTTTAAGTACAAAGCATGCTTACTTATACTGTACTTCTGCGTTCACATTGCTTGACTTCTGTATGATACCTCGTGCATCTATTGATAAATGCTAAGTTACATGGACCTGGACTGCCAGGTATTCCTTGTGAATTAAAAAGTGTGAGATTTTAACACATTTGCACCTACAAAGGTACCATATGTGGTAGAGCTGCTTTGTAATTCAGGATAATTGGTCCCAAGTTTTCAATAATCCATTTTTGGTGTTGCTATTGTGGTTTGGTTACCCTTATGGTGAGTTAAAAAAAATAGAAGCAAACTGCTTTGCCAAATGTGTGTGGCTAGATGCTGCGCAGAAGTCAAAGCATGTAGAGGTAGCCCATAATTGTATACCAAGAACGGATGCTAAAGGTATCTGTAGCGGATGGCACTGGGCTGTCCTGCAAATGTCTTTGAAATAATTGCATTCGTGTGATCTGCTAGTTTTCTATGTGTTTTAAAGCCTTGTATTCTTGTGATTGTTCGGTAGTTTCATTCCCTTAGTTTATTCGAATGAAACTACCGAACAACCAGACCTCCCTGTGTGAAGTGTGTCCTCAATTACCCGTTGCAACATTGTTGCGAACGGGTAATTGACTAGGAAGTAGCCGTCCTTTGTTCTCGGGGGTGGCCGCCATTCGACAAACGAACACGTGGCGGCGGCCATTTTAAAACTCCCGAACAGCGGTGTTTTGCCGTCGAGTGTCTGGAACTAAAATCGGACACTCGAGTAGGCGAACACCGCTGAGACCTCCACAGCCCTGGTCCGTTCGGTTCCAAACTACCGAACGGCCCCTCGTTCGGTAGATAGAGAATACCGAACGAGGGGATTCAGGCGAACCCTCCCTAGCCTCTATAGCTAGAGGCTTTCGTGTATTTTATTCCCTTATGCCAGGACCGACCGCAGGGCCCATTCACATGGAACCGAATTCGGCTATCTCAGTTCGTGCGGTCGGTCATTTTATTCCCTCCATACTTTTCCCGAACCCCTGGTCTGATCTGGGTGGTTTTTGGATATGTTGTTCACCCAGATCAGGGCTACCAGGGGATGTAGGATTTAAAGAGGTACCCCTACGTTTAGGGGTACATCCAGAAACGGGGGGAATTGGTGTACTGGATAAGGGGATTATGATGCTGGCTGAGGGGAGGAGATATGTGGGAGGTTACCAGGACAGCATTGGCTACTGTAATAATTACTGTAAATCCCTCCCTTGCATGGGAGCATGCTTTATAAGGAGACTGTGATTAAAGGCTTGTCAGTTCTGCTCCTGAAACTGTGTGTCGTCCAGTTATTGGGAGTGCTGTGGGGAGATTGCTGTTATTTTACCTGCTGGAAACTTTGCCTATGGGTTTATTATTTACTTGTTCCTGAGCCTCACTTGGATTATAAGCGGAGATAACCTGGGGAATATTGCATCTCCGCTACAGTATCAAAACCACTCCCTTAAGTGGTATAATCACAGTAATGTGCTAAATAAATACCTACACTCCTATTATTAATATATATAAAAAAAACTTTATTACATGATCAATAAATATAAAAATAATCACAATCATTCTATGTACACCAATTATATTACTATTCGTAAATCAGAAGTCACTGTCCATGTAGTGCCCTTGACAAAGGCCCTGTGCACTGAAACGTTTGGTGTTTATAGAGCCCCCTGATTACTGACTAGTTATCGTAAGCTTGTACAGCAATTCATTGCTATTTTTGATTTGTTTTCTTCAGTCACATGATTTTGCTTTAATAAATATTTATTTTCCCTTTTGTTTTACTATATGCTAAATAAATACTTTTAAGGTTATTGTTAATACTATGTATATGAATGCATTACATGTATAATGACTTTTGATTTATGAATTTTACTATTTTTTGTATATGTAGATTGATTCTGATTATTTTTACCTTGAGCTTGTTCTGACGTTGGTGGTAGATCCAAGTGTAGGGAGGAGAATAATTAGTATCAGCAATTTAATTTGTTGTTGAGACAAACAGAACACTCACAAAACATTCTCTGATACTAATTGTGCCTGTCAAGTTATTTTCTAAAGTGAGAATTGTTGAGATTTCAAAATGAATTTTAAATTTTAGGACAAAATAGCTGATTTGGAAACTTCCAATTTGGCTATTTTCCTCTAAAATTTAAAATTCACTTTGAATTCACCTTGGATTACAAACAATTCAAATTTTGGTAAATTTTGTTTGTGTTCTGAGAGTTAGAAGACTATAAACTGTAGCCATAAGGAGGTCAGGTCCTTTAAAGGGATATACAAATTCTGATAACTAACTAGGAGTGGTTAGTAGAGATGTGCATGGGCATAAATTTGGTTCGGTACAGCACTTCCAAAATTCGGGAATTTGGCAATTCTCTAAGCCTAACCCTACCCCTAATCCTACGCCTATCCCTAACCTAACCCCAACTGTACCCCTACTAGGGTTAGGGCTAGATTCCGGTCATCATTCCCTTAATTTTCCCTCGATTGGTGCAGCCACTTAAACAAAAGAATAAACTTACCTAAGTTGCTGCTGATCACGGCCAGATGCGCCGGCCCCTTCCCCAGCGAGTGCGGTGTTCCTATGGATGCGGGCCGCTGTAAAACCAATAAAAGATATAGCCCTGCCTCCAGCAGGGTTAGAGATCATGCAGACGTGCGTGTGCGGCCACACAAAGTGTGCACACGCCCGTTCTGGAGTCAGGTAACCCCTGTCCACCAATGAATGATAGGGAAGGGCTATAAAAACCCACTTCTTTATTTCTTCTTTGCCCTGTCATGGCTTCCACTTCTTTGGTTATCCAAGAGCACGTTTGGTATTATTATTCCTGGTTTTTAATCTTGGCTTATTCTGACTATTCGTATTTCTGGTATCCCTGACCCTTAGGCTTTGTCTTCTCGTTTATGCTCCTGTCTGTGTCCCTGACTTCGGCATGTTTCTGACTTCTCTTTCTACGTTAAATCCGACCTAAGGCCGGGTAATATGTTTTTCTAGTTGACTTGATTCTGTGTGTTGGGCCACAACCCCCTCCTGACATTACGACAGGGCCATGGACCCTGCAAAATTAAGTCAACACATGTTGGCTTGTGAAAGAAGGCTGGAAGACAATGATCACCGGATGGATCAATTCGCCCAGACCTTTCAGACTTTGTTGGCCCGTACCACTCACCTCCAACCGGAGGATCAACGGCCTGGGCGAATTGATCCATCCGGTGATCATAGTCTTCCTCTAGCCCATCCTGTCACTGTTGTACCCATAGTATACAAGGCTCCATCTATCTCTCTCTCACCACCCCCTCATTTCGGTGGTAATGCTCAGAAATGCTGTGGTTTTCTTAAACAAATAGAGTACCACTTTGAGGCCTCCCCTGGATCCTTTCCTTCCAATAGATCTAAGATTGGCTATCTGATGAATCAATTAACTGGGAAGGCATTAATCTGGGCAAATCCTTTATGGGGGAGCAACAAGTCTATTGCATTTGATTATGCGGAATTCCTAGCGGAATTCAAGTTAACCTTTGAGCCGTTGGGTAAGGAAAAAGAGGCAGCCAAAGCCCTCATGTGCATAAAACAGGGTAATCCCTCTATTGCGGATTATGCCATTGAGTTCCATACCATTGCATTAGAGGTGGACTGGACAAACAGTAGCCTCGTCACAGCTTTCGCTAAAGGTCTGTCCGATACCATTCTTGATGAGGTTGCTGCCAGGGACTTGCCAGAAAAACTTAATGGGTATATAACTTATTTGATACAGCTAAATAACAGGCTAAGAGAAAGGGAAAGGATTAGAAACAGACCTAGCACATTTCTTGCTCCCCGTGTCAGGATTACTGTATGATCCAGCACGTAGAATTGTGTAACACAGATGACTAAAAGGTAAAGTATTACCAGGCCTTAGAATGGCCAGAATAACGTACCAAAGAATAGTCAGGAATAGCCAAGGTCAGGGGACACAGAAAGGGACACAACGATAAAGGAAAGCCAGAGGTCAGGGATACCAGAAATACAGGGAAGTCAAAATCAAAGCCAAAGTCAAAAAGCAGAATATACTTGAATAAGGAACGCGCTCTCGGACAACCACTAGGGAAACCACAACAGGGCAACGAGGAAAGGTATGTTTAGGTTTAACACCTTCAGACCGGAGGGCGTACTATTACGCCCTATTTTAGGCGGCTCTAAACGCCGCCGGGCATAATAGTACGCCCTCCGGTCTTTCATTACTTACCCGGTCGCAGGCGGTACCACGCCGGCGATCGTGGTTGGGGGGACTCCCAGGGAGCCCCCCCGTGGCAGATCTTCCTCCTGGCAGCACCCCCGGCCATGTGAGAGTGAGGTCCTCGCGAGGACCTCACAATCACATGTCAGGGTTAGCTGCCTGCTGCATTGCCAGCAGGGGGGCTGCCTGTAATGACAGGTAGTCCCCCTGCTGGCTGGAAATAAAATAAATAAAAAGTTAAAAAGTGTAAAAAAATAAATAAAATATATATATATATATATATATACTTAGATCATATATATATATATATTACATATATATATGATCTAATTATATATATACACATATACATACACACACATACACTGTCTAGGTGTATTTTACTATTAATATATATATATATATAATTATATATATATATATATATATATTAATATCAAATTACACGTAGACTGATATTGATTAAATATATATATATAATTATTGTTATATATATATTTATATATAATATAAAAAATAAATATGTAAATACGTTAAAAAATAAAATAAAAAAATTATTCAAAAAATTATTAAAAAATAAATAGATGTGTGTTATTTCATTCTAACTGTATTGTGATATTAAAATATATATATATTTATATCAAAATACACGTAGAACAAAATAATATATATATATCTATATACATAAATATATACGTATATCACTATATATATACATATAAATAAATAAAAATATTTAACAAAAATTATATATATATACACATATATATTCACATACATATATATATACATATATTAATTCTACATATATATTTATGTAATATTTTTACATAATTAGGTATCTTAATTAATTACAATTAGCGGGACCTGCCTGACAACCCATGCCGAAAGTAAAGGGAATTTAATTTGCTAGCACTATATTTAACCCTATAACTTTCCAAGACACCATAAAACCTGTACATGGGGGGTACTGTTCTACTCGGGAGACTTCGCTGAACACAAATATTAGTGTTTCAAAACAGTAAAATGTATTACAACGATGATATCGCCAGTAAAAGTGATGTTTTTTGCATTTTTCACGCACAAACAGCACTTACACGGACGATATTATTGCTGCGATACTTTTTACTGTTTTGAAACACAAATATTTGTGTTCAGCGAAGTCTCCCGAGTACAACAGTACCCCTCATGTACAGGTTTTATGGTGTTTTCAAAAGTTACAGCGTCAAATATAAGGCTTGTGTTTCATTTTTTTCACATTCAAATTTGCCAGATTGGTTACGTTGCCTTTGAGACCCTATGGTAGCCCAAGAATGAAAATTACCCCTATGATGGCATACCATTTGCAATAGTAGACAACCGAAGGTATTGCAAACAGGGTATGTCCAGTCTTTTTTAGTAGCCACTTAGTCACAAACACTGGCCAAAATTGGCGTTTTTTGCATTTTTCACACACAAACAAATACTAACGCTAACTTTGGCCAGTGTTTGTGACCAAATGGCTACTAAAAAAGACTGGACATACCCCATTTGCAATACCTTGGGTTGTCTACTATTGCAAATGGTATGCCATTATGGGTGTAAATTTCATTCCTGGGCTACTATAAAGTCCCAAAGGCAACGTAACCAATCTGGCGAATTTCAATTTCAAATGTAACGTGCTATATTTGACCCTGTAACTTCCCAAAACGCCATAAAACCTGTACATAGGGGGTACTGTTTTACACGTGAGACTTTGCTGAATACAAATAATGTTTACATTTTGTTTCATTCACAACGTGTACATTTGGCTCAGTCCTTAAGGGGTTAAATACGTGAGCTGACGTGGGGGTATATTTTGCTGTGGATCCACAGCAGCCGGCGTCCATTAACATGCCGCAAGTGTCAGTTATACAGCTGCATGGCCACTGGGTGTAGAGACCGCAAGGTGAGAAAGAATATGTTACATTCCGCTTCTCCAACCCTGTTAACAAAGCCCCTATTGTAGCTGCCGAACCTGAATCTATGCAGTTGGGGTTAATGAGGTTATCTGAAGCAGAGAGACAATTCGGGAGGAGTGAGGTACTGTGTATGTATTGTGGCAAGAAAGGGCACATGAGAGCAAATTGCCTGATTCATCTAGAAAACTCTCGCACCTAAGTTCCATAAGGGTACCCTAGGTGTTATGTATATGTCCCCCACTATGCTCTTTCTAGACTTCTCCTTTCTGTTACCATTCTCTTACACAACCTTGAAGTCAACTGCAAAGCCCTATTAGATTCCAGAGCAGCAGAAAGCTTTATTGATGCTCACTTTGTGTCTACACAAAAAATACCTCTAAGGGAGAGGTCAACACCTTTGACCGTTGAGGCCATAGATGGTAGACCTCTTAGGAAACTGCTGATTACCCATGAGACTTTACCTGTTTCATAGCAAGTAGGGGCCTTGCATAAGGAGCAGATCACTCTTCAGGTTACCTCCTCACCCTCTTGTCCCATTGTGCTTGGTTTTCCATTGCTAATCAAACACGATCCACGTACAGATTGGATGAGAGGGGAGATACTAAAGTGGCGTGAGGAGTGTTGTAACAGACGTTTAAAGCCTATAACCAAACAATTGGGTATAATCAATGTTCCTACTGCATCTCCACTTTCTACTACAGTTCCTGCTCAATATAAGGAGGTAAAGGAAGTCTTTAATTGTTCCATAGATTTACTGCCAGGTACGATGCCTCCTAAAGGAAGACTCTATACTCTGTCTCCCTTGGAAAGTAAAGTTATGGGGGAGTACATACAGGACACAAAGGTAAATCCTCATCTCCAGCGGGAGCAGGGTTTTTCTTTGTTTCAAAAAAGGAGGGTGATATATGCCCATGTATTAATTACAGGGCTCTCAACAAAATAACCATCAGAAATGCTTACCACTTATATCTGAACTGTTTGACAAATTAACAGGGGCTAAATTGTTTACTAAACTAGATTGTGCATATAATCTTGTTAGGATTAAAGAAGGTTACGAATGGAAAACAGCATTTAATACGAGAAATAGACATTACGAATACCTGGTAATGCCTTTTGGGTTATGTAATGCCCCCACTGTTTTCCAGGATCTCAAAAATGATGTCCTGAGGGACTTTATTTATTCATTCATATTGGTATATCTATTTGATATATTAGTGTACTCAGCTGATGAAAAAACTCATCATGCTCAGGTTAAACTAGTCTTACAAACCTTGCTAAAGAACGGTCTTTACTGAAAACTGGAAAAGTGTCTTTTTAACCAAAAGGAAGTGCAGTTTCTTGTTTATACTATATCCGCTTCTGGTTTTGAGATGGATTCTAAGAAACTAGAGGCAGTGTTAAAATGGCCCTTACTTCACGGTTTAAAGGCTACCCAACTGTTAATCGGTTTTGCCAACTATTACCGTTGATTTATTAAGGGATTTTCCA